TGCGTGGGCATATTGCATGCAAGATCATCCCTAGCTTGAGGCCCCTCCTGCTCTGACGTCACAAGACGTCACAAGGGCATCCCATACATCAAATATTCTGCAGGAAGGAAAAAAAGAAAATGGGGAAAAGCTCTTTACCTAAGCTGACGGGATTAGGATTAAAACCCAGAGGTTGTGCCTCTCCACACCGCTGCAGAAGCCGCCCTGCCACATATCAAACCTTTAATCATCGAGACAGAATGGCAGTGTTTGAGGACTCCCTTGTTTCTCTGTCAGCCGTCCCCGTCACACCTCAGTGAGACCAAGTTTACCAAGAAAGAATGGAGTCGGAGGATAACGTTACTGACGGTAACACATTGTGCTGGTTAATGGATGGCTGAACGGCTAAAAGAAACAGCTGGTCAGAGGAAGGCTTAGGCATTTCCATAATATTGTCCTAACAGTGTTTTGTATATGTTCAATTGCCCGGATAGGTTGTGTGTCCTTTCTTCTACAGGTGTAAGTCAACTTGTTTGATGTGATATACCATATAGTTTGTGTATAAAGAATTTAGTCCACCAGCAAAGGGTTTGGCACTTCAAGAAGGGCAAAACACAAAAAAAGACAATCATTCTTACTGTGCCTCTTTGCAAGCCCTGTGTTTCCAGGGCTTGCTAAAACAGTGCCCAGTTATCCTCAAACAGATCTCTCTAGATGGGCAGGAGTGATTTAACCTTGTATTGATTGCATCAGTCTGGTGATACGTCAATGCAAGTAGTTGGGGATGTGGCTGGCTGCCATGTGCACATTTGAAGATTGGCCCGTATCATCCTCCTGTCTGCCTTTTAGATCCATGTGCCAGAAAGCCTCACAGCTAGTCTTGGAGTAAACCAGAACTATCTCCAACACATTGTCCCAAGAAATGAGAAAACACAGGGCACCTCAGGCACAAGGCTGTCTCCCAAGACGATATCCCAAGAGACTTTTCAGATTTAATCATCAGTATGTTTGCAATGGAGATGCAAGAAAACTACTTGCCAGGTCCTTTTTTAAAGTTTTTTTTATGATATTGCTTTGCAAGATAGTTGACCATGTTGCATAATTTTTACTGACTGTTATGTGGCTATTTTGACATCTGTTTGCTAAATGCGTACAAGCTACATTTAGCTTTGGTGTGTTTGCTCATTGCAGTAGAGATGTCATAGAAAGCAGATGACTATATTTAGCATCAAAGCAGCAACTATTAAGCAATAGATATGTGAAAATGGGAAATGTCTTAAGCTGAATAGTGAAAGAACTGCCACAGCATGTATGGATCAATGTAGTTGATGCCTTTCTGTGGTCAGTGCTGTCTCGGAGCTTTCCCTTTTCCTTACTTTCGCTGTGGACATTTGCACCTTTTTTAAATACATGTGTACGCACACCTCTGACAAGGGGAATCTTGTCAAACCAGCCTGTCGCTGATTCATGACACACTGTCCTGCTCTGACACGCTTTGTTGGATATTGCAAGACAGACGACATTACTGCATGTCTCTTCATCCTGGAAGAGGGGTGCTTCCTCTGTTGCTCTTCCTGGGGTTTGAGGATGGAGGGCGTTGTGTGATTATACAGATTGTAAATTAAATTGACTTAACTGTCAGTCATCTCCCCTGGAAGCTATTCAATGAATCGTTGTGCAGAATTCAAGCCAGTTCTTAATGAATGTATGGTTGCTGTTCTATATTAGGTTATATATGGATTCTAATTTTAGAGCTCGGTGTGATCATTGATTTTCTCTCCCTCTCCCCCTGCAGTCAGACTTGATTGTGTGTGACGTAGGTAGCACTATGCTTTCTCCTCAGCGTCACAGGCCCACTGAGCTAATATGCTGATGAAGCTTTTTGTTCTCCTCCTTCCCAATCACATTACAGTGATGCTAGCCAGAGACTAGTCTGGATGGGAGATTGCACACTGCAGATGTCGCATGAGTGTATACTGTATACTGCCCTCCCCTCCTTTACTGATGCTAGCTCTGGAGAGGTGGTACCCTGCTTCTGTTATGATGTCAGCAGTTCCCTATGTGCTTAAGGTGTGAGGCTTTTTTTTTTTCCTTTTTCCATTCAGAAAGTGATTTACCACTCTGCAGCTGTCTGCCAGATCCAATTCTGAAATTACAAGGGCTGAGGCATTTTTAAGAGATGAGACACAAACACACACACAGCTGAATTTTGGTCACATTGTACCTGCGTCAAGTACAGAATCAGTTATTTCTCTTTTGACACACAAAAATTTCCCAGGTGCAGCCATGTTGGATTTTTAGAAGGAACTGAAACTGTAAAGGTTGTCGTATTCTTGCACCATCTCTTTTTTCACTTCTGCTTCATTATTCAGTTGTTCTGTCGTCAGTCTGCTGGTCTATTGTAACATCCATTGTTGTGTGTGTGTGTGTGTGTGTGTGTGTGTGTGTGTGTGTGTGTGTACTTTAGTTTGCTGTCTTGTTTATTTAACTAAAGTCATTATCTCTGTCTTCCCTACCAGCCTTGGGAGCAGCCTATGGCACAGCTAAGAGCGGTACAGGGATCGCCGCCATGTCCGTGATGAGGCCGGAGCTCATCATGAAGTCAATCATCCCCGTTGTCATGGCGGGTATTATAGCCATCTACGGCCTGGTAGTAGCAGTGCTGATTGCCAACAACATCTCAGAGAAGGTCAGCCTCTACAAGTAAGTTCAGTTGACCACAGTCAGATTTCCAGGCATTTGTTGTCTACGTTTCCTTTTATTTATTTGTCAACACATCTCATAGGATGCTTTTTTAAAATTCTGTGGCAAAATTGAGTAGGAAAGGCTAACTTAATCTGTTATAAGACTGTAGTGATGTGGTCCTGTCACTACTGTGTGATTTATTATCAACAAAGCTGCGGTTTAGACAATGTCACAGAAATAAACTTGCCGTCTCATTTTCATGATGGAATTTGTCTCCCAATGCAGCATGACTTTTTAAAAATAGTTTTTGGACAATAAATATAGGGACATTGTTCGCTGCTTTTTTTCTGTTTTGGTGTTTTGTTGGATCATTTGAAAATCTTGCCTGATTACAGCTTAATTGTAAGGAGAACCATTTGCTGCATGCATGCATCACTGTCACAAATATTACAGATGCTCACACTTGTGCATGTTTAGTTAAAATGTTTGCAATCGTGTAAAACTGTTAACCCAGATTACTTGATCCTCAAATCATCCTCGACATCTCCTGTGCTGACTAACACTTGTCTCTCTGTGTTTAGGAGTTTCCTCCATCTGGGAGCCGGGCTGAGCGTGGGCCTCAGTGGGCTGGCAGCAGGCTTCGCTATTGGCATCGTGGGCGACGCAGGCGTTAGGGGCACAGCTCAACAGCCGAGGCTTTTTGTGGGCATGATCCTCATTTTGATTTTCGCTGAGGTCTTGGGTCTCTATGGGCTCATCGTTGCCCTCATTCTGTCCACGAAATAAACACCCGACATCTCCACTACAAGATCTGTCCTTTTATGTTGCTGCTGGAGAAAAAGTGTAAAACGGGAAAAAATTGTAAAAATTTCTGCCACACAAGATGAAAGAAGTGAAGGCGTGGAAAAAATGAATTAAAATGGCTCCATAAATATGGTCTTATCTCAACAATGTGTACAGTCGTCCCAATTTGATAGTCAACTTGTAAATGCGCAATGTAGTGATTTGTCTGTCTTGTGTGTGTGCGTGTGTGTTTCAAAACAGTTGTATGATGAAGATTCCTTTTTTCCCTCCACTTATTTCAGGCCTTGAGGCCAGCTGAGGCAGCCTGGCCTCTGGTCTTAGAGAGCTTGACCAAAGGGCCGCACAGCTTTTTCTCCTCCCATATCAACCTGGGAGTTGACACAATTTCTGCATTAATCTTGAGGATCTATTTGTAAAGAGAAATGTATATGGACTTACGATTTTTTTTCAACTGATTTTATTTATAAGAAATTGTTCATTGAACTGTTTAATGCAGCAAAAGTCTTTAATTCCCCAGGATATATTATACATATATATACAGACATATAAATATCTATATAGATAGATTTAATGCACTGTGGGGTTATTGTGATAAGTGGTTGGAATTCCTCTGGATGTAATTCTTGGTTTAATAATTAAGATTGCCTTTAGTATGTTGCTGGTGAAGTGGGAGTTTTGTGTGTAGCTGTATTCTAATCATTACGCAAACATTCTCAAACTTCAGTGTTTTTCCTGTAGTACTGCTGTTTGCATTAAAAGTGTGTGCGCCCCGTGATGGGTCTCACAAGTGTAATTTCCAAATCTCATCTCCTCTCCATCTTATTCATCACCTCCTTCCTCTCATCTGTGGCTGTACTTCATCTCTTCCACATTCCAGCCATTAAAATCCTGCATGGGTTTCAGTGTCTTGTTGCTGTTGGATATGAACCTGAAGAGCAGGCTAGTTTCAGAAGACTTAATCCAGATCAAAAAGCTAGTTTAATGTCGTATAGTTCCTTCCCCTCCAAAAAAAAAAAAAGTTTAAACGATACAAAAAGACTGATGGCACTGTTTGTAGCGTGCAGCAAGAATTCAGTGAGATTAGCGTTCCAAGTTTGGCCTAGTTTCATGCAACGATTGGTCGATTTGATCTGGAGTTTGTTTTTCTGAAAATGGAACTGCTGCTGACGCATTGACTGAAGCGCCAATCTACAATCCTGTATTAGCACTGGTATTGAAGTTATCCTGATGTGTCGACGTGTCACAATCGAATTAAAGAAGATTCCAACTTAGATTTGACTGGCTTCCAAACACAAAATGCAGTTTTTTTTATTTTTATTTCGAAATGTCGTCTCTGAATTTGCTGTAAAATGAGATTAGCTTTACAGTATTAATCTCTTCCTGTTGCACTCTGTTAGAGCTGGTAATCTTCAAACTGTGGTTAACACCCACAAGAACTGCAAATTCAGCACTGAAAGATAACTGCAAACAAAGCCTGCATTCCACTGTTGCTGGATACTCCGGTATAAATACAAAACAAGATACTCAGGAAATTGTTTTATATAATGTTTAACTGTACAAAAATGCAACATAGAAATCATTACATCTGCACAAAGACTAATATTTCTGCATCATACTGTACTTCAGACAGAGCATATGTGCTAAAAATCTGAACATAATCCAGAATTTGGAGCAAATAAAATCATGTCTCAATCATTTTGGAGGCTGCTAAGCAGAGCCTGAGATATACTGTTGATGGCACTGAAGGTGGCACTGTTGGGAAATGACTGCATGAAGTCTTTGCCCTCCTCTATACTGGAGCTGAGCAGAGGATCCAAGGGCACAGAACCTGAAATGGAAGAGACAGGATGTTGATTACTTATCTAACCCTAACCAGTAAACGGCACCACTGTGTATCACTGCTGAGGAATGGCTGACAGCTACCTGCCTGGATGTAGCCCTCAACTAACGTAATTAATGATAATCTATAGTGAGGATCAAGTGGGTGTTATGGGTCAAATACTTGGCTAAAGCTATGCAATACTGTCAGATACAGCTGGCTTCTCACTGCCACAGGGTAAGTTGAATTAGCTGCATCATTACTCAAGAGCTTGATCTGCACACAAAGCGGATAACCACTGAGGGAAAACGTTAAATAATCTATTCATTTGACCAAGAATTATTGATGATCATGTATCACTGAGGTGTTGTAAGCCTGCCGCTGCACTGAAATCTGGACCGACCATTTTGGCAGCATGGCAGTGAGGTAAAATGCCTCCTAAACCATGAATGGTGGGTGAGGAGTGACGTGCAATCACAGTGTGTTGTGACACCTTGTGGCTGGAAGCTAACATTACATTGTAATTCAATCACATTGATCTCACCTAGGAATACTGAGCCAGTCAGCTTGGCTAAGTCTTCACCGCCACCTTTTGAGAATATATTGCTGCACTCCTGAAAAGATAGAATATTTGTTAAAATGGATGCAATCTGACTACAGTAAACTTTGACAAAAAACACAAAATGAATGTATGTATTTTGATGAATATCTAATTGAAAACATTATTTAAAATAGATACTACAGCAATTGTTACCTTAATGACCTTTATATCCTTCAACACATGTAATTTTTGGATGCACATTACTGTAATTTCATTAGAAGTTATTGGTATTTCACATCTGAATTCAGACAACTGTATGAAAGTTTACACACCGAGCAGTGTGGACAAACAAAGCCACTCATGTTCTCTACGATCCCCAGGACCCGTACACCTGTCTTCTTACAGAAGGTGATCTCCCTCCTCACATCCCCTGTGGATACTGCCTGTAGCCAACACAAGACCAGAAAACATACATTTGTTTACAGTTTGTTGGAAGCAATATTTTGGTAGATTTATAGCAGGAATTTGCATTTAATCATGACAACAAACCCAAGTTCCTCCCCTGGTAATCAATAAAGTACTTCTGATTCTGAGTGTTAGTAGTTTAGGTTTTGCTGTGAAACATAACTGAGCCACAGCATTGGTCAATTTGCTTTTAAAACACACATGCAGGAGCGTACACATCATTTATAAGTTTATCTGTCAGTGTAAACCCTTCCTAACTGTGTCACCCATTTGTTTTATTTAGTATTCTTCCTATTGTGGTCAGTAGGTCAGTCTCTCCAGACCAGTGCTTACCTGAGGTGTGGTGACCAAAATGGCTCCATCAACTCTGTGTTTTTTAAGGTTCTCCAGTACTGCCAAATGCTCGTCAGACGTCCCTGGCGGCGTGTCCACCAGCAACACATCCAGTTCCCCCCACGCTACATCCGACACAAACTGGCCAATCATAGCTGCAGGACAGAATATTCAGAGATGGGAAGGATGTTGAACAGAAGAAGGTAAGCTCTGTGCCCACAGGATAGGTCTATAAAACAGTGTCACAGAGCGGAAGCGGACCAGTACAAACTCTTAATATCATACCACTTTTCTTGGGCCCCCTCCACACCACTGCTTCATCTGGGTCCTCCAGCAGGAAGCCGATGGACATCAGGGCGAGGCTCTTCTGGGCATCGGCGTAGACAGGCACCCACCCTGCATCACACTGGTGTACGTCAGGCCGCCCGATGCTCAGCATGCGGGGGATACTGGGCCCACACAGGTCCACGTCCAGGATGCCAACCTGATGAACAAAGCAACAGCAACACATGGGCTGTTAAACACAGAATATTTAAACCACTGTATTTACACATGCATCATAACCACATAGAGTCTCTCTGACAGCTCCTCTGTGAGTTTTTTCTCACTCATACTGACACCCTGTATTCTGTTACACATACACACAGCTGATCATTGAGCCCACCTTCTTGCCAGCATGCCTGAAAGCCAGCGCTAACTCTGTGGTGATGGTGCTCTTGCCCACACCTCCTTTCCCTGAAAGGACCAACACAACATGCCGGACCTGGGCCAAGCCCCCGTCTCATATTAGAAAGGAGAGGAAGAAACTGGGTTAGTTGAGCATGAGTATAACAGACACATGGAAGGTTATTTTTGAAGTTTAAATGTCGGTCAAATGTGTGACACAACTATGACGAGGTAACCCGAAACAAGGGTCGGAGAGAAGTGTCGCAGTTAAAGGTTTCAGGTTTCATCACCCGAGTTCACAAGTTCAACGTAAGTAGGTTAGAGTTGCTCTGGAATAATGTTGTAACATTAAAGTGACATTATTAACTATGTATTAGCTTTTTTTTTTCATGTAGACAACAACCAGCTCGAGGTCAGCTCCGGTGTTGGATGTTGAAGCAGCTCAATAGTTTCCAATTAGTGTCCGCTAGCCAGTTAGCTAAGCTATAAAATGGTAACTATTATCAAACCCGCAGCAGTTTCTGACAGCTGCCATCTCTAAACGAGGATACAGTTCGTGTACAGTTGGACGAGCTACAAATAGTGAATTAACCCCCTAATGGACTTTGTTGACCGGTAACGTCGTCCTACCATTAGTTTGCTCCATATTTTGGATTAGGGATTCAACCATGCACACAGCACAGACCTCAAATACTTCCGTACATCGTCACGTGCCTCCGAGCCAATCACACAGCCCATGTTACACCTAAGCCCCGCCTCTCCTCCAACTCAACCAATAGGCTGCCGCTGCGCACCGTGGTGCATTCAGTTGCACCAGAAACTCCAAATGCCAATGACATTTTTTGTGTTTTGTGTTGTTTAAGATGGGTTTGACTTAACTTTTTTACTGAAGGGCGAAGACGACAACGACTGGTGCTAAGGGCAAACAACTGGCTCCAGACATAGGCCTTTTTATATTGACACATTTAACATTATCTTGCTTGCTAATTGTCCCAAAATATATTTTTTGAAGCCTACTTAAATAATTACCGGCAGTATACACTGTTTTAGGTCTGGTGAATGATAAATATTGGCTAATAAATTCTGCCACCTGAAATAGTGCTTCTTGTTTATATATTTTTATTTTTCGCTTGAGCTATGAAGCACATTGAGGGTACTCCACTCCTTGTGTTCTCAAGTTAGCGGACTACACATGATGTCTCCACATCATTTGCCCCATAGATAGTTACCCTACTTAGATAAAGGTAACTAAATAAATCAACATTAACTCCTCCCCCATATAGATCTCTTCCAATAAGAACACGATAAGGGCGTGGAGAAGTAATGTTTACCTCTAGCTTGCTGAGAAGTGGGACAGAGTGCGAACTGCACCTGTCACACGGTCGGACATAAAGGCACAGCAGCATTCAAATGAGCCACTGCAAGACAGTGTATAGGAAGACCACTGTAAGGTAAGAGCATAACTGCTGCTAAAATTGAGATATTCATGCTGTACTGTGTTTGATTAACCTTTAAGATAAAGATACAACAACTGATGTAGTCTTTCACTTACTGAATATACATGCTGAGATTTAAACATTCCACTGTTGGTGTTATCTAGAATGATTTACAGTGAGAATTACATTGACCTGTAATGCAGTCAATACAGGCTTTCTGAAATGGAGCACTATTAAAGGACTGCATGAGATTCTGGTTGAATAGAAAGTCAGGGCAGGACATGGACAGTCATTTGAATAATAATAATAAAAAACATTCACCTCACGGCCATAGTGTTACTGAGACTGCATTCCTGTTATGTCAATCAGAACATTTGCTGATGAAGGTACAGCAGTGTGTCCTGACTGAGTTGTCCAGATGATGCAGTTACAGTATGTAGGGTAAAGCCCAATTAAAGTGAGCCTTGCTTCAGACTAACTAATCTAAATTAATGGCAGTTATCTCCTGCACCTGCTTGCAAAGCAGTCACCAGCTGCTGTGCTCAGTGGTGGCATTAACCGAGACATGCTATCAGGTCGAGGCACACAAGTGATTTTTATTTTAAAAACCCAGTTAATTGTAAACAGGGGAAACATTTCAGGAAAAACAAAACACTGGAATTAAAGCCAGTGATTGTAATGATTACTGACTGTGAGGTGGACAGTTCAACGCAGATAACGTAAACATTTGTTTTAAAGCAAACACATTAGTAATTTCTGTTTTTGGTCGCTTAATATGGACCTACCTACTTTCCAGGTGATAAAACCCAGAAGAGAGGGTGAAGTTACCAAAACTGTCCAACTATTAATTAATAAATGATGCTTGTGTTATTACATGCTGTATGAATACAAAGTGGATACAGGCAGAATTCCTATAATGTTCATGTCATTGGAATTGCATACTTCACTGATTGTTTGGTCTTTATAAGAAACACTCTATTCTGTTACACTGGACTTGTTCCCTGTGTCACAATGGAGCAAACTTTGATTTAAGTTTCTCTATAAGGTTTTTTAAAACTAGTGGTCTTACATGGAGAACTTTTTATCACAGAATCTGTAAATCCATTTTCATTCCAAAGTACCAGAATTACCCCCAAAATCATCTTACATAGTGAATAAAAGTGTCATATAATCATTTAGTAAGGTGTCAGGGTCAATATTAGCAGGGGTCTAAACAAAAGGATATTAGAATGTGTGATTTATGATGGGTATATATTGTATTCACTGGGTCAGGTGACCTTGCTGACAGACATGCCGCACAGTGACAAAGCAGAGGGTTTAAAGGTTAAACAAGTGCATGGAAACACCTCCTGCTGCCAACTGTGGTATATGGGACAGATGGAAATAGGCAGGCTGGCACACTAAGATAAGTTAATAGGTGACTAGAAATGTTTCCTCACAAGGATATATTGTAGCTTCACACTGACTGTTAAGTAGAGTAAAGGTCAGTGAAAAACAATGTTGGACTAAGAAAAGCCTATAGCAATGTTTGCTATGCACACTTCTGACTGACCTACTTTCAGTTGTCCAAGTTTGTGAAGAATCCGAACACCGAACACATCTCTAATACACACTTACAATTTAACTGTGTGTCAGCTGTGAAATCATAAAAGAAACCAACTTTAAAATTTGAAATAATGCAAAGACCTTAAATAAATATATACTTTCATCACTGCTTTAGGATATGTTGTCCATGTGTTTGAGACCTTTTATTTCTCCACTTAAACTTCTTTCGACTTGCTGTTAATTCCCAGGAATCCTGATCTGAAATAGGTTCCATAGGACGAGTTATTTCTTTCTCTCTTCCTTGAATATTGGCTGCTAGAATTGGAAAGCGTAATCAGACGTGTGTCAAAAATGACCTGGCTTCAGCAAACAAAACAAAGAGGAAATAAGCTGTGAACCAGGCGTTCAACACTGACCTTACTTGACATAAATACAAACTACATGGCCTACTGCACATATGCCAGCTGGTCATAAGGCACTGGGTCTGCTGTCCACAGAGCTGCCATGCTGAGAAGAGGCAGGAACGGCCGGGCTCGGCATCTGGCCTGGAGCGAAACACGGCAGGAGACAGATGCCATGGCGGTGATCCAGACATCGGACAGAGAGGAATGGGAAGGCCAGACAACGACACAGGTGAGACACTGGGGTTTGTGGGGTAGAATAAAAGAAAAGTGGGGCAAAGTGAGGAGAACAGTGGAAAAGAGAGAATTTAAAAAGGGGTGGGAAAGTCAGATGGACTAGAATAGAGAAAGAAACATTTGTTAGAGCATAAGTAATTGTTAAATCCACATGTGAAATATAATATTTCTACCTGAGTCCCAGTAGTTTTCCACAGGGACTGACCCCTTTCTGATATGGCTATGTGTGTAAGACATGGTCAGGTCTCCAGAGGCAAGGAAAGGAGGCTCAGTATTTTTGGAAGGGGTCTAATTTTACTTACTAGCACACATGGCTTCTCTCACCAATAGGGACCATGAACAGCTTTTAGGGAAAAGGCTATCTGGTTAAGTCTTTGAAACATGGCACATGGTTGATATGGCTCTCATTTGGCTCTCTGGATCGTCCAGTGTAAGACAGCAGGATTAGAGTAACTGCTGCCTTAGTGGTGGCTGATGGGGATCCAAGAATAAAGAAGAAACATTGCATTCTTCCATCCAGGCTTGGCGACCTATCACTCTTTTAGGTTTAGGCTTTACAAAAAGCTGAGAAAACGTTGGAATACAATCCTCTGGCTCTCTCCACTGGATCTAATTCCTCTCCCTGCCACCAAGCCAACGTCCCTGGACCATGGCCACGTCTATGGACTTACAAGATGCTGTTTATACCGTTTGTGTCAACCAGATCAGCGACCTGGACTCAGAGGTGGATTACCTGCCAAGTTCTCAGAACGTATCAGAAGTGGTGGCCTCGCCCAGCACGGTGCCGGTGATAGGGGAGTCTTTCTGCCAGTGTGACCGACAGGAGGAGCTCAGCCCGGGCCGCAGTGTCACCAGTGACTGCCTCTGTGGGGAAGAGGATCAGGGTGAGCAAAATTTGATCAATACAGTCACACACCAATGTATACACTGTAATTTGATATTAATGTAACAATATATTATATAATACAACAATACATATATTCAAACCCATCTACCCATGCTGTGCGTACTCTTTGTACTATCATATCCACGTACCTCATGTATATATTTCTGTATTTATTTCAGCATCCGTTGCACTATTGTATACTGTGTACAAATCTTATTGTTTGTGTTTGTGTGTATATATATGTATAACTGTACATCGTAATTTGTGTCAAAATTCCTTGTATGTGTGCACATACCTGGCCAATAAAAGTGATTCTGATTCTGGTAAGGCCATTGCAGTATTATGGAATTAAATTACACATACTATAATTGGCTTTTGTGAGCATATAATTACATATGGAGCAATGTCCTGTTCCAATTCAGTAAGCCAGATCAAAGATATGGAACAAGAGAACACATCTCCCCCAAAACACAGATTTTGTAGCTTGCTTTTACATGCAAAGTCAGTAATGTTTTTCCTCTGGGGACCATAAATGGGTAAAAATGAAGTTAATGTGGATTTTTTTCTCAGGTTTTGACTGGGAATGGGACGTTCACAAGTCTTCTGGAGCCTTCCTCAGCTGTGACAACAGAAAGGTGAGCTTTCACTCTGACTACAGCTGCGGCACAGCTGCCATCCGCGGCACCCAGGAGCTTGCAGACGGTCAACACTTCTGGGAAGTCAAGATGACCTCTCCTGTCTATGGAACCGATATGGTGGGTAGCAGCCCCTTGAATAATTCTGATGTTATAATAGCAGTGGCATAAAACACATGTGAAAAGTCTCTGTTTGGTCTAATGGATGTGGCTGTGGTTTATGTCATTTGATCCTGTTTGTATTGTTTCATTGGTGCAGATGGTGGGAATTGGAACTTCAGAGGTGAACCTGGAGAAGTTCAAATACAGCTTTGGCAGCCTGCTGGGCCATGATGAAGACAGCTGGGGGCTCTCCTACACAGGTTAGACCGCCAGAATACAGGGATTCACATATACCACAAACTATCAGAGTAATCTGTGAAACTGGATGGAAACTTTTCACCAATGATGACAACTACATTTACTCAAGTACTGTGCTCAAGTGCAATTTTAAGGTATTTGCGTATTTTGAATTTATACAACTTCTATTCCACTACAGTCCAGAGGGAAATACTTTTTAGGGAAGTATTTACTCTATTATATTTATTTAATAGGTGAAGTGTCAGAGTTCAATTTTACATAAAACATATATGCTAAGCTTTTAAAATATAATACATTGTTAATGATTAAACCAGTAGTTCTCAATGTTCTCAAAAGTGAAAACACATTCATGTAGCAGAACTTTTTTATTCTTCTTTCCTACCCTAATAATCATCTCCAGACCCCTCAGATTTAGCTAATGATCCTTAGGAGGGTGGCCAACCCCTATATAATATGGCATCCGTTGAAAAAGTAATATATAAAATAATTTCTTTCCTGTATCTGTTTAAAGGTTACCTCCAGCACAAAGGGGACAAAGTGAAGTTCTCCTCTCGGTTTGGCCAAGGCTCCATCATAGGAGTGCACCTGGACACCTGGCATGGCACACTGACCTTCTACAAGAATCGGCACTGCATAGGTGGGTGTTTCTCTGTAATTCAAGCAGGTAGTGTTTAGCTACATAAAACACAAGAAGAATGTGTTTTAGTTATGAGTGCCTGCTGGATCATAATCCTGATGTGTTTTAATCTTACTCCAACAGGTGTTGCTGCCACAAGGCTGCAGAACAAGAAGTTCTACCCCATGGTGTGCTCCACAGCAGCCAAAAGCAGTATGAAGGTGATCCGTGCCTGCTATACACCCACCTCCCTGCAGTACCTTTGCTGTACCCGGCTCCGCCAAATGATGCCCTGCTGTCCAGACGTACTAAATGTTATAGATCTGCCCCCAGGCCTGCGCACCCTCCTCCACATAAAGCTAGGCTGGGTCTTTACCCTCAGCAGCAGCCCTGAGGCCTCGGAGCAGCACAGTGACTTGTCTGATGATTTACATGAAGAGATGAGCATGCCTTCCAGCCACAGCCCCAGCCCCATCCCAAGCCCAGTATCCACCCCGAGTGCCTGCGCCTCCCCGAGCCCCTGCACCAGTCCGTTTCTTGACACAGACCGACATCAGTGCCCCTGTCAAATGTCACCTCAAATTCAACCCTGCACTTGCCACTGCCCTCCAACTCCTCCCAGCAGCGACTACGACAGCTGCTGCTCCGAGCCAGAGGATTACCAGTGCAAAAGATGCCGCTGGACATGACTTAGTGGTCAAAACGTATTTGTAAGTGTTTAGCACACAGCTATTCTACCATTGCCATCAAAATCTCCTGTTGGAAATCAGGGAGATAAGAGCAATCTCAGCGTTTAGCCAATATTTCTGAATCGACATCTTGAGTGGATTGTTGCTTGTCTTTTTTTATGTAGCAGGTTTATGACATTAAAAAAACAACTTTGTCAGTGAACAGGGAGAAGGGTGTGAGTGTCTAGTGAGTGAGACCTTTAAAGAAGTTGAGATATTAAGAGTGACATCCAGGTCATTCATTCACATTTTAGCCAATTGCTGTCATTGGGCTAATGAGAGCCATTTGTACTGCTAATTCTTTTTAAGGCCTAATGTCTGAATCTTGTGTACACTTCTCAGGGATAGACTCCGGGGGGGGTTGCTTTTTGATACAGTGGAAATTACTTTTTGTACAGTAAATGTGTTTTGTAATCAGCATTTTGGCTTGAATACCTACAGTGGATGTATTCTTGCTTACAAGAGGATTTGTTTTTCTATTTACAGTAATGCTTTGTTTATGAACTTTCTTACTCAGGAAATTCTCTAAAATAAAACAAAAATGAAAAGTTCTGTTGTAGCTCTTTTTATAGGCTTATTTCATACATAAATATAACATAGCCCTCTAACAATACATCTTGCATTTATACACAAACAGAATTCCAAATATACAATACACATCATATCATTTTACTAAATATATTCTGTTCCTTGAATCTGCTGACGTTCAGAGGAGTATGAATAGTGCTTTACTGGAAGGCGAACATGATATCTAAGGCATATTTTCAGCTTGTAAACGTCAACATTATCATATTAGCAGCCAAGTGGTGACAAGTGCCATTAGAAACCAGATGAATCCATCGCTGACGTCAATCCATCTCCTTCTCAAGTGGACAAATTAGTCAAGGACCAGCTGGGGGTTCTGGGCAGTGAGGCTGCGATAAACTCTGGCCGATATCTCTGGTCCTATACGTCTCTCTTTACCTCCACTTTTCACTAAGAGACCAGCCAGCAGCCCCTTTCTGTCCTCCTCTGACCCCAAGCTCTGGTAGGCCTAAAAAACATGGGAAATTAAAATAAATATTAAATTAAATTAAATAATTTATTTAGGCATTAAATGGCATTAAAGGCATTTTTAGGCTTAATCCTTTCAAAATCAGTGTGAAAATTATATATTTCCACCAAGCTAAAGAAATAAACAAGGTTGATTTTTATACCTCCTTAAAAGTGTGTAGCAATAAAAAGCAACGGTTTATCCGAAATGCCTCGGGTGCACACAGTGGGTGGTCACCCCTGCTAGTGTTGGCACCATCCTCTGTGCACTGAGCTCTACACGACCATACTGACGTGCAATCGGGTGTACCTGCAGCAGCAGCTGAGGAGACGGGTAGGCCGCGGTCACAGTGGACGCCACGGCGGGGCTAACCCTGTTCAGCTGTTGGATCTGCTTGGTCCAGACCCCGATCAGCCCTGAGCCGTCCCTCTCCACCCGAACCCCGCTGGCCCACGAACCATCCACGCAGAAAGGCAGCTCTGCTCGCTCTGTCAGCAGTCTGGAAGGACATAGAAGGACATCTCATATGTGAGGGACGATTAGTCAGGTATTAACGAGATGGTATTAATGAGATGGTATCCAATATTTCTCTGACTGCTCTGTGAAGAAGTATATTATCTTCAGGGTAAAACAGACAATTAAGGTTTCCATTTCCTTGTCTGTTAACGTGACAATGAGTAGAGTGGCTTCGTACTTGAAAGGGCGTTTTGATAAGGCCTTAGTGACAGCACACACATGGTTAGTGACCTCCTGCCAGCCATCCAGGAAGACCAGTGAGATGTTCTTGCTGAGCTGTAAGTACACAAGAACCTGGAGAGAAATAAGACAGAGAAACCCTCTGTACTTGAACCTCATTAGGTTAAAGGTCAGCTCACATACCATAAAGTGTACAGGAACGTGTATTTGTCAAGTATGTATCACGTTTAAGAAAAATGTATGTTCTGTTGCCCATTAACCTCCTGTGAAACATCTACAAAAGGAGCATATAAGATCAGCTAGTTCTCATCGTACGATTGGTCTCACAGTGGAAACGATTCTCAGTAAACTGACCTCCTCGATGTCCAGATCCTCCATCCCCAGTTTGGATTGTAGCGTCTCGTCTAGTAAATGCACACCGCAGGCATCCGTCCTGTTGGTAAGTAAACCGATAAGTAAGTGTTTCATCTTACTAGAGATTAAGAAAGTTAGTAAATAAAAAAGTATCTAGGTTGTTAGGTATATTATCCATCAATAGCCAAAATCACAGGCACACACTCTAACCTGTAATCTGGCTGAGAGTCTGTCACTAAGAGAGTGACCACCTTCTTGGCATCCCGGTTGAGACACTCCAAAAGAGGACTGAGGAAAGACCCCACCCCCACCTCCTCCCCTTCACTGTCTAGCATCTGCAGTGGCAACAAAATAATATGGAGGAGGGTATAGAGTGGACAGCATGCATGCTATGGACCTAAGGTCAGAATCACAACAACAAAGTCTACAAAGAGTCCTTCATGTAGGCTGCCATCAGAGTTTATTTATTACAACTTAACAGGTTGCTTACTTTCTTCACAGAGACCACCATGTCCATGAAGTCAGTCAGATCCAGCACCAGAACCACTTGCTCCTCCTCCACTGACCCCTTCCCATCGTCTCCCTGCTAAAGAGAAAGAGTGAAGAAGAGAAGGAAGTAAAAAGGAATAAATGTAATGCAGTCAAGTTATAACATTTAAGTCAAATGTACAAAATGCATATCACACAGCTGCAGAGGGATGTACTTTGCACATGTAAGGAAAGACTCCAAGCATGAATATTAACTATATTCACTTTACAGATGCAGATAACATACAGAAGATACATATAAAGAAAGCATGCAGATGTGCACTACTAATTGTGCACCCACAATAAGCTCCAGGTGAAGGAGCAAAGTGCACAGAAAGTATGTAAGAGAAGCACAAGGTTCCTACCTGAGGTAAATCTCTGGTCCAGGTGATGCTGTGTGGGAGCTGCTGGCTCTCAATGCTAAACTTCCACTCAAAGGCAGCCAGAGTGTCCAGCAAGATATCTGAGCCATCCTGCTGCAGAAGAGCTGGAGAAAAGCACACACAGGCTTATAGAGGAACAAAGTTACACATCATTTCAGCCTATTTGTGTTGGAGGTCATAACCTGGCCAGATGATGCCTTAGTGCTCCTTGGTGGCTCAGACATTAAAGCTTGTAAATATTAATTGTCATGCATGCATGCTTTTGGTTAGAGGAGCAAAATGAAGCCAAATAAGAAGTTTCCTAACTAGTTCTGTTGGCTGTTGTTTGTTTTAAAGAACAGGGTGGAAAAAAGCTATTTCAAACATTTGCTTGAAGTTTTAATTGATCAATTAGCCAGTAGCTGAGTATATTTCAACAGACCTGTTAAATTCTGGTACATGAACAACCATTTGTCACATCATTTGTAGCAAAATGCACTCTATTTAATTAGGAAACTAAAATAATATCTAGCAGTCCAGATTATAAAGCACAATTACCCCAATACATTTAATATACATACATATGTTGTTTTTTCACTGTTTGGTCAACAATGTATGGAATCAAACATACTAACTTTGCTAATACTTTATTTTAATATTTCTTAAAATTTAAAAATGTAATTGAATTTTTCACACAACATCCTTGATAACTTTTTGTTTACTGTCTGTTTTGTATAATAATAATTTAAAAAAAACAATCAATCTTTCCCTAACAATTAACAAAGCTGTCCCTAGTACTCGATGGAATTATGAAAATTTCGACAGCACCTGAAGGCGGCGTGGTGAGCCAGTGTACCTGGATCTACGCAGACTGTCAGACACTTGAGGCAGTTCTCCGGCCTCAGACTCTTCAGGTTCTCGGCAGCTTCTCTCCTCCTCTGCTGCTCCTGTCTCCTCTCCTCCTTCTCCCGGGCCCTGGCAGCTCTCTGTCTCTCTCTCGCCTCCTTCCTCTCCCTGGCTGTCTGTCTGTCCGCCTCGATCTCCTCCTTGGTGCGGCGTTTTCTTGCAGGACTTGGTGTACCTCGTCCATCTGGTCGCGGGGGGGACAGAGCAGAGGTTTGACTGGACTCGCTCTTTGTGGGTGAGGATGGGAGGGTTGTGCACTTGTGCTCTGAACTCTGGTCCACTATCAGCCCCGTGCTGACTGTGACTGTCTGACTGCTCTCCGCGTCGCTTCCCTCAGATTCAGATATTTCCCATGTTTTCGCTCTGCGCAGCACAGACATCTCATATATGTTTAACGCATTATCAAACACCTCCGACACTCCTCAGAGACACGCACACAACGCATACAACGCTGGGAAATTTAAAGTGGAACAGCAATGTTTGGATGACCTCGACGGTGGCCGCTGAGGGACAAAAGATTAAAGAAACGCGCTACATATATTGTCGCCCATACTTTACCCCCAGAAACCCTTTAAAAGTTTTTTTTCCTCCAGAATAAACACGACCAAAGAGAAGACTATATTCCTTTAATTAGCTGTTGAAGATTATTATTACAAAATATAAATAAACTAATAAATTATGATGTTATTAAGCTACCTATAGTACTCTACATAAAGTAATTATTATTAGTCCCTCCATTACCAGTTGCAAAATGAGTGATACATTAATGTGCATAAATTATAATATAATATGCTATATCATTATTATATATATATTATTCTGAAATGGGCTATTCTGCTTAATAACTAGCCTACTTTTACTCAGTATATGTTAATGCAAATCCTAATACTGCTCATAGGCCTAAGATTTTGAATGTAGGATATTCACTTGTAATTGTAATTTTATTTGTACTTAAGTAAAAGGTTTAAGTACTTCCACCACTGTTACTTAGAACAACAGAAGGTAGAGAGAGACACAGCAGCTGTCACCAGGTGGACTACAGACCATCAGTATGTGGCCCACACATCTATTGGTTGTGCGAATAAATAAAATACAATATAATCAAATATTTATTTCACCATACATTTTATGATTTAATGGAAAGGTCACAAATATGTATTGAAGCTTGTTGAATGTTTAATTTCCCTCTCCTTGCTCTCTTTTGAAATTACATAAAAACAATAAAACACTGTTACAGTTAAAAAAATTTTAAACAATTTATACCTTTTATTTATTCATTTACTTTATTATTCTACTAAAATGTTTACAGAAAATGTAATATGAAGACCTACAAATTTTCACCAATAAAGTTTTCTGGGTGAAAAAAATAAATCTCACAAAGGTATTCAGGCCGGATGCAGTGTCGCTGCGTGCGCAGATCTCCAAACAACCCGCTGCGTCCTCACACGAGAACAGATCGATCCATGTAGGTTAAAGATCTGCGGTCTGCGGACGTCAACACGAGTGGTGGCCGACCTCAACACTGCCTGCTAGCCTGTTCATGTAAACAACACTAAAGGATGTGATTTTAAAGTTTTATTTTACTAACCGCTTTTATTTTTTTGCTCACTATGACGCAGCCGGCAGAGAAAGGTAAGATTTATTTTCCTAAAAACGACTTCAAAATGTAGCTTCACCAGAGGACCAGACCTCTTGTCTCGTAACTCTCCATATAACGTTACTTCCCCCAAAAAAACAGGGCCACTAAACGACCAACTCAGCATTTTACTGTCGGTAACGTTAGATAAACTCATGTGACTAAATGAGAAGTTGCTTGAAGTTAGCAGCACTCATGGTTTACTATCTCATTGTCTGTTTTAATTCGCTGAATCATTCACCACCATTAAGATGGTTCTTAAAAAAAACAACCTGTTTTTCTGTTCAGCGAGCTGCACGCGAAGGTTCCCATTGGACAGAGTTAAAGGAAATGTATAAAAGCAGGGGTCAACTACTTGAGTATTTCCATTTTATGGTACTTGATACTTCTACTAATCCCCTACATTGGAAAAGCCAATATTGTCCTCAGTACTAAACTACATTTAGTTGACAACATTAGTTACTAGTTTGCAGTTTAATACAAAATATAAAGCCTTACATTTACCGACTGCTATATTACAGTATACTTCTACTTTTAGTTTATTTTGAAGATTTCGAATGCATTTTTAGTATTTATACACTGTGGTCTAAGTACTTCTTCCACCACTGTTTTGTATTATTGTTCCTTTACTTAAATATGTGACTTTCACTGTCCAGATGAGAAGGTTTTTATGTGTAAAAGTAATATCTGACACAAATTATTATGGGAAGCAGAATATTTAGTCTTAAAGCAAGTCTTTACAGCTTTATAGCGAATGAATCTGTTCATAAGCATTGTGTTGAAGCCAATAATTAATAGAAGACTCACAAGAGTACTCATAGAGTCATGTTTTATGGTTAGAATATATTCTGTAGATATTAAATTCAATTGAGGTTTCAATAAAACTGTGTGTGCTGCTATGGCTACATGTTAAATACTGCAGTGTTTAGAGGTGTTGGTATCTCGTCCTTTATGTTCTTTTTACAGTGTATTACCGCTTTATGGTGCTGTTCTTCAACTGCCTGCTGACGTTCGGCTCCTACTTCTGCTTTGACATCCCCAGTGTTTTGCAGGATCAGTTCCAAGGGGTAAGTAAGAGATCAGTATTAATTAATCAGTATCAGATGTTTCCTTCACGTGAACTAAACCTGCTCATTTTAATTTGGTCAACATTTAGTCAAAGAAGTGTGATCTCAGTTAGTGGCGAGTTCAATAATAACATCCCCTTATCTGACAGAACCTGACATGTCCCAATGCAACATTGATCAATGGGACATTGGATTGTGTGGAAGGATTGGGGATGAGCCCTCAGCAGTACAATCTTCTTTATGCCATCTATGCTTGGACGTAAGCACACACACTGACCCTGCTGTAATGATATTGAAAAATGGCTTTATCAGACAACAGTTACAGTTGCTACTGTTCCCTCCTATCAACAGGAATGCAGTAGTGGTGGTCCTGGCCGGGTTCCTGATTGACAAGTTAGGAAACCGCTGTAGGTCTAGATATATCTTATCTGCACATAAAAACAACTGTGTTATGGTAACTCGTGGTAAATTGATTCCTTTTTCTTCCTCTCTGCAGTTGGAGTATTTCTGTTCTCCTTCCTGTGTGTTTTGGGCTCATCGTTGTTTGCACTGGGCTCTCACTTTAAAGGAACTCCCTATCTGCTGCCACTTATGCTCACAGGCCGACTACTGTTTGGATCAGGCAATGGATCTCTGACCAGTAAGGCCACCTCGCAGAAGTCACATCCATACTTGTTGCACTGTCAACTCAGTGGTTAATAAACCGCTCTCTGGTTTGCTTCCTTACTAGTTGTTCAGAACCGCATCACAGCCTTCTGGTTCAAAGGAAAGGAGCTGGCCTTGGCTTTCGGTCTGACCCTGGCTTTCTCTCGCCTGGGTTCAGTCCTGAACTTCTTCCTCACCCAGAAATTTGAAGAAAAATATGGCATGCAGTGGACCCTCTGGGGTGGTAGGTAGAGAGGGGGTAGAAACCTTGAATAATGACAAAATGTTATAAAAAGAGTATTATTCTCATGCTACGCAATGTTTTCTAGGTGCACTATTGTGTGTGCTGGGCTTTATATCCGCCATTATTGTCAGTACCCTGGACAAGATCGGGATGAGGCAGCTGGGCGTTGATGGCGCCATCCAGGAGGAGTCCCGCAAAGTGGTATGAACAGTATCTGACCTCAGCTTTGTAAATCTTCAATAACTTCTTTGTTCAGTAGTTTATGTCCTGAAGTGATTGACTGAATTATCTGTTTTTCTGTGTGTGTATGTGTAGAGGATTCAGGATGTGAGGCTCCTGTCGCTAAGATACTGGCTGCTGGTCCTCACCATCATGTTCTTCTACAACGGCATCTTCCCGTTCATCGCAGATGCCAGGTAGAGCTGTCAGCACACAACACGTGCATCGTGCTTTTTTTTTAGGATACGGATTCTATTAGCTGAGACTTCTTTAGGCCAAATGATGACAAATAATAAATGGACAGCATTAGACCTGTAGTGACAGAATTACATTTCTATTGTAAACAAATAAATTATTAAAATAATCATTAGCATACTGCTGTATTTCCCTCTCCAGTAAGTTCATTCAAGATAAGTACAACGGCTACAGTCAGAAAGAGGCAGCATATATTGCCGGGGCGGTTTATGACAGCTCACTGGTCCTCTCAGCCAGCGTGGGCATTCTCATCGTAAGTATCTGTAACCTCAACCTGATCCAATGTCTGTCGTTTGAAGCAATATGAAATAAGTAGGTAAACTGGTGTATTGTGTAACATTGTCCTCTGTTTGTTCCAGGATTATGTGGGTCTGAGGGGCATCTTTGCGGTGGCCTGTGCCGTCCTCACGCTGCCTGTGTTTGGACTCCTGGCCTTCACCTTTGTCCCTCCTCTCGTCTCCACTATATGGCTGGGAGTCACCTACTCCTTTGCTGCTGTGAGTTCAGATCTAAGTCATTGTTTTCAACAATTTAATTTCTAACGTCCACTTTCTCTCAGGTAAATCATTTTATCTCAGTTTAATGTCCTAATACTAAGCAGTGAGCATTTTAATTGTGTACTGACTTCACAATCACTCATCTATGGAAGACTACTCAATAATCAATATGTCTACATTACGTAGTTCTGACTATAACCCAACAGAATTAGAATTGATTTGTTTCGCCTCGCTATGTTTCAAAACTGACAGAGCATTATTATTAATGTAATAATTCTGTCACATCAGTCACTGTTGTGTTTGACTTTACCATCACATCACACTTGTATAAGTTGCAAATTGGACCAGGTTTGACTTTCTACATTCACAAATCATGCTCGTAGGCCAGCCCCTTAAAATCAGATTTTTAGTGAGCACAGAAAAACTCTCACAACCGTTACTGTATGTTGAACATGATGATATGTCTGTTCTGACCTTCAGATTGATGATATATTTAAGGTTCTATACAGATGTCTCTCGTTTGTCTCATTTTCAAGAAAAGCATGAGTCTTGATTTAAACCATCTGTGTTGTATTCCAGTCGAGCATGTGGCCGTCTATTCCCCTCGTGGTACCTCAGGCGACTCTGGGAACAGCCATGGGGCTGGCCACCTCCATACAGATGATTGGGATTGGGGTGTCCAACCTGGTTGTTGGGCAGATTTTGGGCACCAAGTCGAGGTAGGAAGTACTTCAGATCAGGACCTTATTGAATACACAATCCTCCATTTTGTATGTTAGGCTTTTTACTCACCTTCACCTGTTTTCCCGGCCAGTGAAACTAAAATCCCGCTGTGGCGCTGGCAGAGGATGATGATCTTTATGTTGGCCAACACTATCGGCTGCATCGTCACCTCAGTGCTGCTCAACATTGTGGATCACAGACAGGTCAGACACCTTGGAGACTTCCTGTATACCACTTTATGTATGTGCTGCGCATACAGGTGTGTCAGCTGATATTTCTTTTTCTACAGGGCGGGACCCTGAACAAGACAACCAAGAGGTCAGAGCAGGCAGAAAGAGACTCCGACAGGGAGCCGCTCAACCAGGGAGAGGACGAGCAAAATGAGGATGAGGAGGACGAGGCAGTCAGATCTCGTTCTATTAACTCCTAAGTTTTGTTTCCTCAAATTTTAATGTTTCTTCTTTTTTTTTTATACGTACCATTTTTCAAATTGAACACCTCACTGAAACCACATTTGTCTGCGGTTGTTACAGCGGATATTTGAGCAGTTTAATGAATCACAATAAATCCCTGTTAAACAGTGTTTACACTCAAATAGTATTAATACATTATATGACATATTGAGCAAAATCAAACTATATTATGTTTTTTTGTTATTGTTGATTGTATCAACACCAAGCTATCAACTGCCACTGACTGTGTAAGTAAATGTTATATCATGATAAAAGGCATGTAATAAAAATGTCCTGTCTGTTTTTATGATTTTTATTTCCTTAAAAAAAAGAAATATTTGTCCTTATTATTTGTATGGTCATTGTTAGAGACTTCACCATGTTCTGGGAGAAGGGAATTTGATCTATTTACACTGTCAAAACAGCAAAATGAAAAAGCTGTTCGCCTTTTTGATGGTGTGATCTTTGCTACTTGCCTAAAAAATAAACTTTATGCCTACATGTTTGCTTGGTGCCATCCAGTTGAGTGTGGATTGTGGAAGTGTTTGTGATCTGTGATTCATCACAGCCTGGTTTAGTTTCATTTGATTAGACATGAAGAGTGTTTGCACTGGAATATTCAAACATATCCTACAGTACCAGAGGAAATCAACTTGTATTGGGCACAGTTACATTTGTTACAACAGTTTACCACCCACACAGGGTACTGAAAGCAGCTCCAATCGATATTTGTTTCAGAAATGTATTAAATGACTGTGGAGAAAATGTGAGTGCAGCTCCCCTCAGCTTTATAGTGAGTTCTTCTGTCATAGTATTGTTTTCAGCAAAGAAATTCCACTGTACACTACCTTTTCAGCACCAAACAGCAGACAGACACAGTTAAACATTTAGCAGCTAAACAGACCAATATTTCTCTGTGTGTTGGTGGATACCAGAAACTGAGCTAAAAGGAGAATTAATATTGGAGAAACATAATTTCAAATTAATGATAATGTTGCTCCATAAACACTGGATGTGTTTGCTACTAAGAAGTTCTCTATATTGAGTTAAAAGACAATGTCAGTGTTGACTTCCAAATGGCCAAAAAATATTATAATGATAATAATAATATTAGTAAGGTTCTGCAATGTCTATGTTTTTTTTTCAATTAACATGAACAGACAATACATAGAAATGAAAAACAAAACCAGTAAGAAATAACATTCACACACAATACAATGTTAAATCATTTTACAAAAAGTCCGATCAACACTTGAACTGTAAATGTAAGGTACAATCTGCACAATAAGGTTGACCTGCTTGACTAGTGTGATTTCCTTATGAATACTCAGCACAGCACTTTTAGCACATTGCAGCCAGTAGGTGGAGCTCGTTACACATTTGTCTGCAATGGATAAACTACAGTTTATGCAGTGAGCATGGGATCAGTCCACCATTGTGTATTGGTCCCAATAGCTTACTTCAGCTCCTCAGGTTTGTCCCATATTCAACCTTCTATTTTAGTTACCTACATTTTTTGTAACTGAATTCTTATGTATCAAAGACCTTTTTGTAAGTCAGTGGCTATGTTGGAGGAGGAGGTCATGATAACAGTACTTAATAGCACATCCATCTTATTGTCAACAACCGCAGAATAGATTTAAAAAGTTATAAAAAAGTTATAGACAAATATGGCAGCATATGAAAGCAACACGTTTTAGGTATACACTAATTTTCCTCTTATAGTCTTTATGGAACAGCCTATACACATTCCTGCTGTATCATTTGTGCCAATTCATATTGCGGTTTTCGTCATTTTAATTTAATTTATATTTATTTATTTCTGTAAATAAAACACATTAGCTGTTACCCAGTAAATATGTAAGAGCACAAACTCATTCTCTAAAATGATACTGCTCTTAAAAAATGTGATCTATGTTGATAAGCTGTGTTTCCTGGTAGATCTTTGAGCTTGTGCTTTTAATCAACTTCTGCGCATTTTCCCATCAACATACTGTGAATACCTGAATGCTTTTTAGAATTGAAATGAGACGAAACGCAAATTAGAGAGCGCCTAAACGGATCTAGGCGGCCTGTCTGACCTTGAATAATGCTGCAGTCCTCAAATACTTTAGTACAACGATTACTCTAAAGATCCAGGTTCAGGGTGCCGACCTCTTGTCCCTGACTCTGTGCCAGGTTAAATGTGGAGAGTTCCCTGTTCTGAAGCTAAGCATTCAAAAAAGACTGCAGTCAATGCTGAATAACACAGTGGATTACTGAGAGAGAAACAAAATCCATTACATGAACAATAGCTGCAGATGGAGGGTCACCAATGGTTCCTGCAAATGATTTATTTTGTGTTCAGCTGGTACGGTTCAGTCATAATCCAACAAAAGATCAGATAGAAAATGCTTGACTTTGACTGAAGATTTAAATAATATAACTGCATACATAACTGGATGATACAGTAGCTCATAATCTTCCTAAAAGAGTTAGATCTCTATCACCAGATTACTAGAAGAATGAATCCCATGTTAATGTCACTGGAATGTAGTGAACAAGATTACCTCATGGACACTTGGAGCTCAGATCCTGTGTTTACCATGAAGATAAACCCTAAAAATATACCTTGCTTAATCTTCTTAAGGGGCGTGTGGTAGGAGTTAGTCTTTGCCTGCCTGACTGACAACACACACACACACACGCTGAGTCAGTTACAAAGTCTTAATGCCTGACATTCAACAGAGGGCTTTAACATCTTGAGGTTTGCTCTATGGTTTCTCACTTGCAGTCGGTCTGTAGCCTCAACTGTTTGGCTGAAAGCCTCGACAGCATGAGCATGTCAGGCCTCCTCAACCTCAGCAGCCTGGGCAAGATCTGCGGCTCCAGCAATGAAATGGTTGTTTTGGACCGGGTCAAGAGGAAGAACTCCGTCAGGCGAATGTCAATCATTGAAGATGGTGAAATAGCAGAGGTTCTCTACCTTATTCCCAAACAGTCCATGATGGAGCAGCTGCCGTTCCTCAACCCCAACGACTACATCCTGTGTGAAAAGTTGGCCAGTATACCTGCAGAGATGTCAGGTAATGAATAGTTTACTTCCATATGTGGTTGATGTGTTATTGATAAGTTGTTATATTAATGATTTGTTATCCTGCACTATAATTTAGCCATAAAATGTTTTGTAGATGTAGCATATGACAAAAAAACCTATAGATTTCCAACAGAGAATAGGCGGAATACTGATTCAATTCAACATGCTCTGAATATGTAGAATTCTACCAGGTTTTTCATGTATTTCAATGAGATTAACCTGCTAACCTCCTTTATTTCTATTTAAAATAATTTCATGCAGTAACAAGAACTCAAGCTCTTCGACAAAGCACGAGATTGTACAGATTTTGTCTGCTAGTCAACTGGCTTCGATATTCATCACCACAGTTCTTAATCGTATAGCTAATAATCGTAGCTAATATTTTTCAGTCAGAGAATATGGACATCAATATCCACGACTCTGCTAACTAACTAACTCATCTAGACTTGATTCAAGCACGTTGACATTGTCTCAGCAGACTCTGCTGCCTCTACACAAACAAAAATACTTTGCATTTGCATTTAAACACAATTAGCCTCTCTTAAATCAAACAATGTATTTGGTAGATATGACACACCATTTCCCTCTCTTTTTATAATAGCTCATCACCTTTGGTCACACAGTCAATATTGTACCTTATTTATAAGCTCATCAATGTTGAATGGTTGTGATTAAAGACCATGAAGACTAAAAAAGCTTATGTGTATAGACAATATACGTATATTCAGTTTGCAAGTTCCGAAAAAAGAGGCAGCAGGTAAAATCACTGAGCCATCTGTACTCAACAAGACTCCCATCACAGATACACAAATAATATTATCAGCATTACTTTTCTGGAAAAGAAAGATATTTCAGCAATGCATGTCCAACTTCAAATATTCAAATATTCTCTTGTTCTGCATGGTGGAGGTCATGGTTCAGAAGCACAAGAGCACTTATTGCCACTTCAACACACACACACACACACACACACACACACACACACACACACACACACACACACACACACACACACACACACACTCCTGCCCTCTGTGTTTTGGACCACCCCCTTTTATTCCTGGGACCAGCAGTCCAGTTAGTTCCTCTCCTCACTCTGATGCAGCCAGCGCTCCCACAGTCGTGTAGAAACCAACTGTCATGAAAGAGAAAGGTAGATATTTTTAAGACGTGTGTGTGAGTATGAGTGTGCGTGAAGTGTGTCTGTTTGTGCCTATTGTTTGTCTTTACATACTCACATTTTGTTAGGGGCTTGTTATTATGTAAGTACACTGTTTCTGTCAGGCCAAATAGTCTCTGAGCTTCGTTCATGATTACAATTTTGTCAAAGAAAATGAACAATGACAATGTGAGACATTATTATGCCAACTTTATTACTTCACACATTTGTATATTTCAAATTGTCTGCTGTGTTTGTGGTTGCAATCTTTTTGGTTTTCTATGTGAGGTGGCATTTAAATCTTGTTTAAACTACAACAGTAATTTGGCAAAGCTTGGTTGATACGTAAAAGCTCTGGTATGTGAATTCTGACAACAAAATTCCGTTAATTTATGCTATACTTTTATAACTTTTGACCTTTTAAGATTCTCAAACTGTTAAAAGTCTGAAAACTGCATTTAGAAATAAAAACTGTGGTTGCCAAGTGGGGAAAAGTGCAAGCACAGCTGCTACAACTAATCGTAAAGCATCATGGTTAGGTAAGACCAGCATGTGATTTAGCAATACCTCTGAATCAAGCAGTGTTTTGCCCTGATTATTCTATTTTTTCAGCCACAGGGAATACATTTAGTCTATTGTTGGTAAACTGCTGTGGAAAAAAATACTCTGACTCATTTCACTAAACTAGTGGTTGTTCAGATAAAAGCCTCCTGCCTCTTTCCATTGTTCCTTTCCTGTAGTGGGATGTTAAATGTGACGCTTTAGTGAATGAAAAATTATATTCCATTATGTTCTTGGCAAACTAGGTGTTCCTGCAGGTGCATGACCTCATGTAATTCTGGGATTTTACAAAAAATCTTTGCACTTAAAAAACATTAAAGGCTGCTAAAAGCTTTAAATCAGAATACTCTCATTCCTTTACCTCTTCTTCTTTACCAAAGCTATTTATTTATTAACAATGACACCGTCCAGTGAAGGCAGCAAAAGAGTTATAAAAAAGATTATGAACAAACATAGCATGACCGAATGCAGCTTGTAGGCCACACAAATGTAATTATATGACCTCATTATATTATATTGGATGGTTAAATGTGTTGTCCTATAGTATAACTTACATCCCATTACTTTATACTTACATTATAATAGAATCAGTTGTACTACATCGAAAATTCTGGATACTTAATATAGATATTCCCTCACTCCTTACACACACACACACACACACACACACACACACACACACACACACACACACACACACACACACACACAGATGCAGATTTTCATAGCTGGAGATAGTGAGTTGTGTGATTAGCTGTCTGTCTCAGGTTTCCCTCCATTTGCTGTCTTTCTAAATCTACCATTCGCTAATACTTAACACCATATCAGCTTCACATTCTGGGAGAGATCAAGAAAGAGTGGAAGACATGCAGCAACTCTTTAAATATTTCCAAGTATTATTTCAAAGTGAAAACAAAAAGTATATAAAAGGTATACAGGGTAATACCACACACATACTGTACTATACTGCACTGTACCTTTGTATGTACTGTATGTACACAATACAACATAGAATAGTCTGTCTTTCCCTTACAGCGAGTGTACAATAAAATAAAATGTTTAAACATTTCTAAACTGTAGCAGTAATTTCCCCATGACAAATAGCTTGCATGGATTTGGGTTGGCATCACAGCTCTGTCATTAACAAATATCTGAGGCGCTCTAGGACAGAGGCCAGTTTGGCTGGATTTTCAGTCATTGTTGTGAAAGCCTTGGCCAAAACGACGGGTTACATTCCCACTGTGATTTTGTTAGCCGAAATAACACTTATTTTCACATGATTTTTTAAAGATTTGATTCTATGCTAATACAATCACACAATGTCCTTCAACTGCTCTCCTACTGGCAGAAATAATTAGCAAGGGATGACCATAATCAAAGCCTTTCAGTATGACCACACTGCTTTTATGCCTTTATGAAAAGTTACAGTGAAATGTATATTGTTTGTTGCTTGCAAAATTCACAAGCCAGTTCTGAAGCTGAAGTTGATGTTTATTAGATTTCTTACTCATTAGACTTCTCCGGGATTTTAAATTGTGGATAGTCTGTCACATACAAGATGAACACCTTTTCATCATTAATACAGTATGACAGCAGCTGGCCTATAGTGGAAGTTTATAATCTCCACAACACTGCATAATGTACACACTGGTTTCTCTTCAGTCAGTTACAGTGAACTTTATATTCACCTTTGGGAAGCATGGGCTCCTAATCTAGTTTACATACTTGTTACCATGGTGACAAATCTCTTGTGTTGTGGGGCAGAGTTGGGGCCACATACCAAAGGTGCTTGACTCAATTTTCTCGGGAATTCACGAGGGTAGTCGGAACAGTTAAAAAAACACTTACCCTTCCAGTAAATGTGCAGAAATCTTTCTGTTACAACATCCCTGTTAGTGCAGCTGGGGTTATCTGAGGTATATTTTCACTGTAGCCGTTACTTGGTTAATAGGTGAATTTGTTATGATTTTTCTGTGGCCAGCTGTATTTGAAAAAAGAACTAAAGAAGAGCTCATGTGTCAGTTTCTATTTGTTATCTATTTGTACGCTATGTGTCCACACACTAGGAGACGGAGCGCTCTCAGCACACCACATTCTTTCCTCTCTCTCCTCTGCTAATCACATTCAAGACCTCTCAAGTGGGCTGTGATTAGATTGTACAGGCATCCACTGTCTGCTTCGGCTACCATGCCACATGAACATGAAAGAGAAGGATTGAGCTGTCTTGCTACAGTACGAGACAAAGTTTGGCACACAAGCACCGACACTCATGTGGAATATTCTCACTGATATTGTTGGGAGATCAGAGAGAAATAATGGCTTCTTCCTGAGCTCTTCGTGAGCTTCGTGACTAAGCATTAGTGTTTCTGTCAAAGCAAAGCATGTCTATACATGATGTTCAGTTATGTAAGCACTGACAGGACACTTCTGAAGGACTATTGTAGCCTATTGTAATCATCTGCTCAGGCAGAACAGGACAAAGCTACTGTATGGATGAGAGAGCCCTTTAGACCTTTCAATTTCAAGTATTGGAAAATGTGTAAATGCAGCTAATCTTGGATTTACACTCGCACTGTGTGTACGTGTACAAGCTGAGCATTTAATGTTTGGATACGAGCTGGTAAAAATGAGCATATTTTTCTGTAGGGATGGCAATGCAATTTTGTAAAAACATTTATGGTTCCCAGTTCCTGTGGCACAACCAGCAGGTCATAGTTTCCTCTTCTTCAGTGAAATATGTCAGTATCTATCAGATGGATTGGTACAGAATTTTGGACAGACATTTGTAGTTCCCAGGTAATGTAAAATAATGATAATGAATTTGACGATTTAAATGGTTCATTTATTTCTACCCTCTCCTGCAGTGCTACATACTCCAAATGGCTGCCACCCAAGTCCTTCCGGGGGGAAGCGGATCACCCAGTGCTTCAGATGTGGGCAGTCATGCAAGGGAGAGGTGCTGCGAGTCCAGAGCAGCCATTTCCACATTAAGTGCTTTACCTGCAAGGGTGAGTACCATCAATATGTCAGTGTGAGCAGATGCAGCTGCACTTGTGAAGCATCTTGCAATCACACCTCAGTCAGAATAGTCTTGCATGTTATCAGGAAAACTCGAGAGCAATCCAGTGAAAGGAATTCCTCATGTGGAGTGGAGATAAATGCTGTCTTGAGCATGTTATGATCAGGGGCCTAACAGTTCATCTGCTGGCTCTGTGGTGGGATTTAAATTTAAACTAATTTCTCATTTGAACAATTTTACTTGCAAGCAGTAACGCAAGTGACATTTGACCCCCCTGCTGCCTAAAAACCTTCTTTTCAGTTTTTAGTTTAACCATCAAAATCAATTTATTACAAAACATTCTACGTTTACAATGGGCTGTTGTGAGAACCTCCTAGGTTGTCAGACAGTCATATTCACCAGAGTTACTCTGTTTTGTGGAAAACATTTTTCTTCAGCCGACCATTGTCCCCACTAATCGAAACTGACAAGCTTCTCGTGTTGTTGCCCTTTCATTCCATTGTGATGGTGTTTACAGCGCAGAGCAAACAAAGAGACTTTCAGGGCAGAGATGCCCGCAGTATTTTAACAGTGGGAGGACCTGGGGATCGAAGGGGTCTGTGCACTTTCCTGAATAAGAGTTTATGAATTTATTTTAATTAAAATAAGCTATAGCAACTTTAGCAAAGGTTACATGACACCTCTTTTTAGTTTTAGTGACACACATGTGATGTAAAGTGATGTAAAAGGTACATAAAAAGGAGGATGAGTATAAAAGCAGCCGAATAAAAGGGACTCTTTATTTATGTACATCACAAGATAAGTAAAAATTCATCTGGTTTTCATTAAAGCTATTTGTATGTCATGAAACAATCTCTGGGATCAGAGGAATGTAGTAGAATGTAAGCACATGTTTGTGCAGGTTTTATTCAGACTTAAAAATAATACTTTTAAAAATAAAATCCATGTGAATTGTAAGGGAGTCACAGTAGGACTGGAATAGAGCAACATAAATCTGTCCCTGGCATCTTGGTCCATTGTGTTGTGGCAGGACTGTGGCAGGTTCAGAGGGACACTGTCGGAAATGGTTTGGGTGGTATCAAATGACTCCAAACAAGCTGAGGGAAAACTCTGCCTCCATGTCAGTAACTTGTCACTGGGCTGATCAGCAAACACACAGAGATGCACGCAAACACATAAACACTTCAGAAACTCTGGCAGACTCATAAGGTCAGACAGCCCAAATAGCATTTATCTCATCATCCCTTTGATGGATTATGTGATGGCTATTAATTTACTACTATGACAATGAAAAAGGTGACAACTTAAACTGTAAATTCAGAGTTACTGACCAAAAGAAATAAAAATTAAACGTATACATGAATAAAAACTTACAAATACCTTTCCCCAAAGCTCTTTCCAAAAGAATAAAAAAAATACAAAAAATGTAATCATGGCAGCTTTAATGTTTTCTGTTGTTATATAACCTTGCCATTCCTTTCTCCCTGTATAACTGTGTGTGTGCAGTGTGTGGCTGTGACTTGGCTCAGAGTGGCTTCTTCATGAAGAATGGCGACTACCTCTGCCCGCTGGACTTCCAGAGGCTTCACGGCACGCTCTGCAACAACTGTGGGGAATTTGTGGAGGGAGAGGTGGTAACAGTCCTGGGGAAGACCTACCACCCAGCCTGCTTTGTGTGCACCCTTTGCAAGTAAGTTTTACTCAAGCAAACATGTTCGGAGGCAGAATAACTGTAACTATACAAAGAATTGTGTGGTATACCTCTGTCTCTTTCTGTGTTTCTCAGACAGGCCTTTCCTGCTGGGGACTGTGTCACCTTCAGTGGAAAAGACTGCCTCTGTCAGCACTGTATTCGACCTGTGTCTCCTACTCCTAACGACATCAGATATCCCAGTAGTAAGCACATTCTTGCTGATATTTACTCTCCGAGCAAGGACATCTGAGCCAGTGTTCATATCAAAAATATTTATTAATAAAGCTTTAAAATAGATCAGAGACTTTCATCCCATGTAGACATAATCAGGCAGTGGATTATAGTGAACATTGGCCAGCTGTGGCTCCTATGCCAGCCTTTTGATTTAGTTCAGCCTCTGCTTAAGAGTCATTCAAAGCCAGTGCCACATCTGCCAGCCTCCTTCATCATAGAGAGATAAAGTCTTTACACTATTCTGCAGGTGACACATCTGATTATATGTTTGTATTTCACTATGTAAGGATGCTAAATGCAGGCTAAACAGTGTCCCTAATTCCAGTCTAACCTGGATGTCTTTTTTACAACACCGAGTCAACATTTCCTTAGAAATTCTGTCATCCTCCTGGGATCCTGCCAGGTCGATGACTCAGTACAGACTAAGAGAGAGAGAGAGTCAATCTCAACTCTTTAACTCAACATAACCTCATCCACCTAACAACTATAGATAGAAGAGAGGGCTCAATACAGGATCCAGACATACAAAGCCTTAGGATTAAGAGGATGTCTCTCTAGGACTGTAGAGAAAATGTCCCGGCTCAGCAGCACAGCTACTCAAATAGTTCTGTAATGTCAGATGTACTTTCACTTTTAATATCCAGTTCATACATTTATATTCAGAAATAATCAAGAAAAACCTAATTTACAAATGTGTTTTTTAAAGGAAAGATCATGTTTGGATGGCCATGTCAATTTGATTCGAATGGTTTATTATTTTTGACATTGTATGCGTGTGTGTTTTCAGACTGCTCTGGCTGTGGTAGAGACATCAAGAATGGCCAGGCTCTGTTAGCCCTAGGTGGCCAGTGGCACCTTGGCTGCTTCAAGTGTAAAGCCTGCAGGAGAGTGCTGAGCGGAGAATATATCAGCAAGTAAATACAAATCTCTCATTTTATAATTCTTTGTCTGCCTCCCCTCAATTGAGTGTATTTTTTTTTCCTAACTAGAAGCTTAGAAATAGAAATGATGTTAGTGTCCATCACAGCTAGTACACAGGTAAGAGTTTCTTTTTTTAAATCAAGTGTCGTATCTTGCAGGGATGGCGTTCCCTACTGTGAGAGGGACTACCAGATCCAGTTTGGGGTACAGTGTGAAGCATGTCAGAAGTTTATCACTGGAAAAGTTCTCGAGGTGAGAAATGTTTACTCTCAATCAAGAGTGACTGATTTTACCTATAGTTGCATCACTTTTTTTCCTCAAAAGTGCTATTAATGTGACTGTTTTCATTAGTGTATAATCACCTGTATATAGAAATTATTGTGTTTTCATTACCTTAGAATGAGCTGTTTTTATCTGCAGACACCATGTTAAACTGACAAACCAAACACTGATTGTAGTTTCACCTACACACTGCACATCCCGTTCTCATTCACAGGTTGTCATATACATACGTGAGCGATGTTCAGTTAATTGTAATCTGCAACTTCACTCATAGATACCGCTAATGGTTTTGCCTTTCTCATTGTCTGCTAAAGGCAGGGGACAAACATTATCATCCCACCTGTGCAAGATGCAGCCGATGTGACGAAATGTTCAAAGAAGGTGAAGAAATGTATCTGCAAGGTCAGTTTGAAAAAATGTAACTATGTGGATATACATGCACACATGGTGGTGATATGGATTTTGGCTCGGGTGGATGCATACATTGAAGGTGTTTGTTTAAGACCACTTTCTGTTCACTTTGTAAAATATGCATTTCTTTTGGCATGCTGTGTGTTTTTACCGTAATGCCTGCAGCAGGTAACTGTCCCTGCCTTCACAGGATCCACAGTTTGGCACCCGGACTGCAGAGACAGCAGCAGAACTGAGGACAGTTACAGGGTAAGATCTCTGTGTAACATGTGATTTAAAGAGTATTCCGGCACAGAGATTGTACATAGATTTGTATCAAGGCAATGACATGATGCAACATCATACAACTTCTGCAACTGAACACCATTGTTTCATTACACATTCTCTTCCTTCCCAGATCAGCAGACCAAAAACACCTTGTCTTGATTTCTTTTTCCCCCCACATGAACTGAAGGTTAATACTGTGACCGGGCTTGCCTTTGGAACTGGTGTTTTTTCTAGAGTGAGCATTGCTGTAATCTCACGTTCAGAGATTAACTGCACTCGCTTGTCTCACATACAACATGAACACTTTGCTTTTGCACTTGGCAGTTAGATCATGTGTGCTAATTCAAGGAAGCAAAAAGAAGATCGCTTTTGATACACAGAAAAAGATTCCTTCTTATGATTTTGGCATAAGATAAGCTTTTAATTTTTAGTGCCCCTCTACAGTTGCTATGTATTATGTGCAATAATTATAACATGTTGCGTCTTCACTGTTCACTGTGCTGCATGCTTGGCTGTGTTTTTTCCTGCCGTCTACTAGTACCTGCACAGTTTATACACCAATGTGTTCTTTCACTGTTAGGTATTGATACAGCTTGATGCAAAACAAAAGTCTGACTGATATCATTGTTAGATACAAAATAAGGAAGAAACATTTGGTTTTCTCATTTAAAAATGCAATAATTACAATCCAACAATTCACAAAAACTGCATGATGGAAGGTCCATACTCTACACTGCTGCATTATGATTCCTAGTCATTGCTTTTACCCTTTCAGACCATATGTGAGGACAAAGTTGTGTGTTTAGTGAAGAGACATTGAGAGAAAACAATACAGGCTGTCGACTGACACCCGAGCTGAAAGTAGAAAGTGGTATTTCTCAGCATCCTATCATTTCAAACTAACATAGATGTTTGTTTCCTTAGCCCACTAGATCCTCATCTGAAAGCTCCTGTTCCAGACCGGGCTCATGCACTCCAGGGAGTCCTGGTCGAACTATCTGCGTAAGTTAACGGTGACAACATCTGCTTAACATCCTCCATGGTGCACAGATCACCGTGGGTTGATTTATATTTCATTTATCCTTTATTTACACAGGGAAGTCGCATGGACAAAGTGTCTCTCTTGCCAAATGTTTCTTTTTGTCAGTAAATGCAGACACACATTTAGGAAAATAGCCAATGTGAAAAACATTAAAGAGTTTTTAAATAAATCAATATTTTTTTACTTAACCTTGACTGGTCGGAACTAGTTTCTTCTTGCCTGTGAGAGAAAAATGGGATTTCAATTGTGGTTGAATATTGAAGAGCCTGAAAATTTTCTCAATTTAATCATTAATATGCTGAAAATATCAACCACATATTGAACAGGAATTTAGATGCATTTGCTTAATCAATTTGAATGCTTTGGCAATTCAGTTTGTATTTGATTATTTAGAAAAAACTTTGTGCTTTCAGTGTCCTTTTGTTCCCTCCACCCAGTCTTTTATGATCCATTCCCTGTTGGTTTATTGTGTGGAATAAACTTTCCCCCCATCAAAACACCTTAAAATATTAGCCAGTTACCTTTTTTATACTTGAAAGCATGAGAAACAATGTTGTGAAACAGAAACAGGCCAACCATCGTGGTGTTGTGGGATTAAAGTTTCATTCCTCCATGAAGTGATGTTATGATCAACCTTTGACCTGACCTAAGCCATACTGTCTGCTTCTTCTATCTTCCATCATCTGTGTCCCTCTCCCATCCTCCCTCTCTCCTCCCTGTCCTGGTCCCAGGCAAAAGTAGATAATGAGATCATTGATTACCGAGACTTAGCGGCAATTCCCAGAGTCAAGGCTATATATGATATAGAGCATCCTGATATGATATCTTATAAGTCTGTGAACGGCAACTCTTCTACTTTGGACAACAAAGGCAACAGACAGGACAGGCAAAGCCCTGCAGAGGTAACTTCATTCAGTGCTCCAAGTTATACCCTTTCGTATGTCATAGTTTCAGTGCTTTTTTCTTGGTTTGATTTATGAGTCAAACCAAGTGAGGTCTTGTTTTGTTGCTTTGATATTTGACTGTGTTGGCTCAAAATGCAATGCCATGTGTTGTGAAAAGTGGACAGATGTATCTCTATGTGTGTTTTTGGAGCTATAGTGCTAAAATATCTAAGTCAAGATCTAGGCAGGTATAAATGATACTTACTCCCTGCTAACTTTTAGCATTTTATAGATAAACTAACTTAAAATAATTAGCTAAATGTAACTTTATCCAATCCTTTTGTTCCTTACCTTTCATATGTATTTATGCATGTGAAAACCTCCAAGTTTGGTGATTTTTCCAATTCAGTTGAAGGATTACAGTGTTCAAAATATTTTTCCTCTTATAAAATATTTTAAAAGATGCATAGTGATTTGCATAAGGTTGTTTTTCTTTATATTAGACAAGTTTGGAGAGTTTTCACATGAAGTAACTACAGTTTATGTGGTCTGTACATTGATTTTTCTTCTTCTTTCTTTCCAATTCAGTCACCAGGGAATGTAGTTGACACCACAGAGGTAAATATTTAATTAGAACAGACTTATATAGAAATACTGTGACATCAGCTCTCATACAGTATGTTCCAGACCCTTCATTGAAAGCTGTATCGGCTTTAACACACAAATTAGTTTTGAATTGTTGACTGGTTTTGTGTCTTTCTTGTTTCAAGGAGAGTTTTGAAATGAGAAAGTGCGTACCGAAATCCACAAGCCACGGCGTTCATTTGACGTACAATCGTCATAGCTACACTCCAACTCTGTCCAGATCACCACAACACTTCCACCGGCCAGGTGAGAAGAGCGTTCTAAAGTGAATGAGCTCAATCTTCTTATCACAAAGATATTAACCCCTCTCTGCTCACTTTCCTCTGTTTTACTGCCTTCCTTTATCTCATCTACCTCCACAACTCCTCCTCCTTCCACTTCTTTCATGGAATAACAAGCAGGGTTGACGCCTTCTCCCTCTTTATTCTCTGGCAACAATGACACCTGCCCCACTTCACCTTTAAGTCACCACTTTCTCTCTCACACCAAAGGTAAGCACCCCTGCTCCTCTGTCACACTTTCCTGCATGCTTTCTCCCCTTTCTGGTGTTGCCTTACGGTTTATATTTTATATTTCAACACTTTGCCTAGATTTAATAGCAAACCCAGCACTTTCCAGTATGTTGTAAACTACAAGGAACTGTAGTGAGTGCAATGGTAGAATAAGAATTTCTACAACACTCAAATTACTAAAAACAAACTGGTTTAAGGGTCAGAGTTGGAATTGAAAAGGATAGTACAGAGATGTGATTCACTTTATTCTTAGAAACACTGAGCCATCTAGTGGTCAAAGTTCAGAGAGACTGTCAGTCTCCCACACAGATTACAGATTACTTTTATATCATAGTTTACTGTAGAAGACAGATATACCAGTTATCTGCTTCCTTTAAATTCTTCACTGGCCTTCTCCTTTCTTTTCCCGTTCCTATTTTGCATATTTTACTGACCGTACCTCACCCACTGCTCGAAATAAAATACTTTATGCAAATCTATATCAAAGTAGATATTTATAAAGCCAGGCCTATTTATAGCAGTGCTGTGATTTTTTAAAGCCTTTTTCATTGTGTGTGGATGAAATATGACAAGCTATGACAAGCAATCACTGGCAGGTGGGAACTGAAAATCTCTCACAACCCACTAAGAACCTAAGACTTTGATTTGTGTAAGTTTAGTGAGCCGTGAGTTACTCCATATTAATTATATTTTAAAACACTGAAAAGGAAAATTAGGGATTTGGTAATTTGCTGCCACAGAGACACTGCAGTAGGTTATTAATAACAATGTGTTCTTTTGGTTCTGCTGTGTAATATTTCAGAGTGAATTATCTGCTGATGCTGCATTGTTTTCTGTCTGCAGATGAAGGTTTCAACATGTACAGGAGGCCTCCGATTTATAAACAGCAAGGTACAATATGACCTCACCTTTCAAATAACCTTTGAAAAAGTTCATATGAATGCTGCTTGACACAGTTAAATATAACGTATTATATATCATTATATTATGATAAATACAGTGAAATGTATACACTGCAGTAACGTTCACATAGGGCTTCAGTTATAGCCACTCTCTAGAGATGTTGGCATTGATATCTTTGTGTTGAAGACACATTATCTCAAAACTCTCAGTTAACTTTGATTAGTTACACCAGGGCAGCCAAAGACTATTTGGGTCCCTGAGCAGGATTTGACCCCTCCAAGGTCCACAACTACATCATCAATGGGCTCACTACAATATAATTAGTATAAGGTATTTACTGTAAGCTTTGGGTAAACAGTTTGTAAACTAGTTTAATCTAATCAATATCTGTTCACTAGAAATGTAAATGTCAAACATGGGTTTAAGGAAAATGTATAGGTGAATATAAAATAGAGCAGTATACTAAGAAGTGCGTTTTACAGAACAATTAGCAAATGGCTAATTAAAGAACCGGGAAAGGTATACTTAACCCAGTAAATCTGATCCAATCTGGGCAAAGAGCAGAGTCCAACTGTAAATCGTCTGAGCTAATGAGTTAATCTATCTACTGTTTCACTTTCACATAGATCCAAATTCCTCTACATCCCAAACATCCTCTTTGCCTGGATATGGTCGCAATGGCCTCAATCCGGTAAGAGCAATATGATACCTTTATCTGTACTTTATTACTTTCTCTTTAGCTTTATTGTATAATGCTATTACATGTCCCGCCAGCTTTCCAGATTGAATTATATATCACTTCCAATTTAGATTAAGACACAACTGTTGATATGATACAACTGCAAAATAGTGAGAAAAGAAGCTCTTTATTGCTTTATGTTTTTATTGAGTAGCTGAAGAGACACACTAAGGAAACTGTATGAGGTTTATTTAATTTACCAAACAGGAAAAAATCAGTGCTTACTGTGTTTTCTTCTCATTAAGCCACAGTCAGCTGATTTCTCTCATTACAATGGCGACAGATTCCATGGTAAGTGTGTAGACATCTTTATTAACAATCATGGAAATCACAACAATATTGTACTAACTTAACAATGTAACCGAATAACACTAGAAACTAAATTGTGTTTCTTGTTCTTTACCTTTTCCCTTGTCTTTCAGACTTTAAGGTATGTGAGAAGAAATGTGAAATGAGCTCTATGTGACCTTTAATCTCCCTGGTCATGCTCCCTTTCTCTGTTTGGTTTAAAGGACTGAGGTCACCTCACTTTCTGCATGTTTAATGAAGTATACATTCAACTCAATTTCAATTCAAAGCTGGACCTGCAGATCTTCTTCTGAAATATATACACAATTCATAACATTATAATATATAATACTTGCAGTCATTTGGCTTTTAGCTTTGAAGTGACTAATCTTGCCATGACATTTTCCCATTGCATGTGTTTGCTTCATTCTGTAGCTCATCCATGACAGTCAACATCCATTAGCAAGAATGGACAGAGGAGTGTCTATGCCTAATTTGTTGGAACCAGAAGCAAGTATTATTTGTATATTAATGCCACCACTTAATTCTCTGCCAAAGTTTTCACTGCTAAATGTTCTGTGCCTATAAGCACCTTTAAAAGATTGCATGCAGTAATAACAGTAATGCATACAAATAATACTTAAGTACAATCCAGTAGGGTTTTAGCATAGAATGGCTAGAGTAGTTCAATAGCTCTAGGATAGTGCTGAAGTTTCAAGGACAACTCATAACATGAAAATTGACAAAGGCTAATAGAAGCAGGATATTTTTCCCTGAAGGCTAAAGCGCTGGTACTAACTATCCATAACTGTGCAGCAGTTATACAATTGCATGGCACATGATTTTCTGACTCCATCTCGTAACTCGCAGCACAAATGTACAAAAGATTGTGTTTAGGTGTAGCATGTGTGATAATCAACTTATAAAGCATCCTCAACCAGTCTTTCTTTTGTCAAGGTCTACCCATATGAAATGCTCACAGTTGGTAATAGAGGACGAGTGAAGCTTCCCAAGGATGTTGACAGAACAAGACTCGAGGTACAGTTGCATTGACTGTTTTGCATGCTTTTTTCTGTACTTGGAGACCAGTAATGAAAAGAAAATTGACATTTGTAGCAAGATTTCCGTTTTCCTTAAAAACAAGATGAGGACATATTTTGTTTCAGTCAAATCTACAAAATAAGTTTTATTTTGGAATAAGAAATAAACCAACAGATGCACTGTTCATATTTTCCCAGTAACTTCATTCTTTCCTGCTTTCCTCTGCAGCGTCACCTCTCCCCGGACTTATTCTTTCAGATCTTTGACATGAATATACAAGAATTTGACAGACTTCCACTGTGGAAACGTAATGACATGAAGAGGAAGGCAAATCTCTTCTAAACCCTGCCTAATGTTTAAACTTATTATTAATATGCAGCACATGTCATGTTCCGATTATCCCTTGTGTTTATGTCTCTGCATTTGACAGAAAGAAACTGGATAAATTGAGTCTCGTAGGGGACACAATACTGTGTTTCCCAGTTAGTTTCTTTAGGGTATTGTAATTAATAATGTTGAAATTTATAATACCTCAAAGCAGATATGAACATGAGAACTCAAATTAGCTATATTCTTGGCTTCAGTAATAGACAATATTATTTTTCCTAAGTCAGCAATTATGCATATTATATTTAAGTAATTTCCTAAGTCTCTCCTAAGTCAGCTCTGTCTTCCCCAGGGATTGCGATCATATTGGACGATTCAGCTTTACACAATTTATGTCCATTCATTGTAAATGCATTTTTATGGAACGTCAAAAATGGAAAAGTATAGAAAAAGTAACATGTTCATCTTTAATGCCAGACACCAGGTTGATTGATGAAGAACTTTTTGACATTTACCAGTAAAGTCAACCTTTCCATTAATGATTTATTGGAAGGCCAATTATCTAGCTTTTTGAGATAATCGACATCGGCCAATGTCTGTGCTCATAAGGCTGATAAACAAAAAATGTCTTCAGACATATCTGTTGCTCTATTGTCAGTGTGGATACAATGTTAGCGCTCCTTTTTGTGAGTTTTGGGAAGGTGGTGAAAAAGTTGGTTGCGAGCCTTGTACTATAACTGTCATGCATCCTCCTGTAAACATATGCCTGAATTATCCCATAGCATAGAATAATACTTTTCTTTGTTTTGATATCGGCATTATATATCGGCCATCGGCAGCCTTGCTCTCTAAATATCAGCATCGGTCAATGAAAAAGCCATATCAGACAACCACTACTTTCCATTACTTAACCCCCTACCCTAAGCTCAACCCTGATCATCTTAGTTTGCAAAGCTTTTAAAAATGTTCTGCTGTTGTGTTTTCACTCTACTCATGACAGTATATATACATATATATACACACACTGTACACACTACATACTACAAGATGGATAAGGATACACGTTAGGGATACAGCAAGAACTGGATGCATTTCGCCCATGTTGTTATTGTTACTATGATATTATATTTTTGTTACTCAGTGGCACTTTGTTGTCTCCTGGTTACACAAATATTTAAGCACAAAACTGAAGAGATTGAAGATTTTTTGAGAGCTGTATTTTTATGTCACTAAATAATCACTGAAAAGTGCTTTATTAGAATGTTAAAGGAATAAGTAATTGACACTGGTTTTTCTATGTTTTCCCCAGACATAGCTATCATAAACATTATTGTATATGTTATCTTCATACTGCTGTCCCAGCACACCACCTCAAGCGCTTTAAATAAAATCTTGCACTTCATACAAGTTGAGCAAATTAATGTCTTTTTATTGACAGAATGAATGAGGTTGTGTATGTCCAATAAGGTGTCTGTTTTTCTGCATGATTTCAATGTTCTTTTTGGTGCATCTCGCAGGAGAATCTTACAGTTCAGATCACCAAATTAGGAAAAAAACAGCTTTTTTTACTTTCATATAGATGATTTGTCTATGTTCTGCATAGATGCCTTCATGATAATTACTTTGTCTGTACAGTGTGCACTTCTTTAGCATGCAAACTACAGTCAGAACCAGTGTGACCATGAAGTAGCTGAAGTCTTCCTGTCAAAATCAAGTCAGCACAGCTTAAGATAAACTGCTTTATGGAAGAACGCAAGCAGGGAACAAGCAAAGCACATCAGTGTTTCCACATTTACCTGCTACAGTGGTTCTACAGCTCTTCCATGACTCTTGATAACATCTTGCTAAATTATAGAAATTAGATTTGCTAATGTTATTCTGAGTTAAGACAACAGGTGGTGTACCAGTACACTGCAAAGCATGACATTTCCATTACATCATAGCACTGAGTAACACATAATATTTTTACTCATAAAAGCAGCCGCGTGGTGGAAGAACTACAAAACTCCCTGACTCAACTTCACCTGTTATCCATAACTCAAACACTCCCATTTGATTTGGCTCTGACATATTAGTACAAAGTGTTTCTTCTTTTATTTTTCCATCTCTAAACTTGGCCCAGTCTTGGATGCAGCCATTGGAGATTTAGGACCAACAGAGGGTGCTCTGGAGCCTGGAATCAAAGCATCACTTCTGGATTGCTTTCAATGTTTAAAATGAACATTTGCCAGACTTTGTTTAAGCTTATGTTTGAGCAGTATATTTGAGACATTACTTATCTTTACTTGTATCTATTAAAATGTTGTGCAGTAGTAGTAGTAGTAGTAGTAGTAGTAGTAGTAGTAGTGTAAAAACAGCCACCAGCTTCTGTTGTAACCTACTATATCAGCTCCAACACAGAACAGCCAAGATAGGCAAATGAAATCATCTTTAAAAGTATTACATCCATACTTTGCATCTGTTATTTATTCATCTAGTCTTATCAAATCTATTAGTTGATCAATTGTATTAAAATGTAATTCTCAAGAATATGATGTCCCAGTAACATTTAGAATTAGATAAGATACTTCCTTATCAGTCCCACGGTGGGACAATTCATCATTCATCATTAGTAGAAAAGCAATCTATTAAATAACAAAGGGTTGAATTCACATTATAGCACAAGGAAATAGTGACAGGCCTATTGCACAGGATCTGAGATGTAAGATGAATTTTCTGTAGAGGGGTTTTGTTAGCCAAGCCTAATCTCATTTGTTTGTTTTGTTCAGTTTAGTACTACTTTAGTAGTAATAGTTGACTTTAGACTGTTGTATGGAGACACTTCATGAAAGGTTCAATAACCTAGGTGTTATCTTGTCTATAAGTTATCTTTAACAAGTAAAGACTGTTTAGCAACCAAGTTGTCAGTGTTGGAAAAAAGCAGGGAATTAGAAATACTCTGACAAAATGTTATCTTTCTTTTGTTCTTTGCTTCCCTGTCCTGTTGTTGTGGATTTTGCACATCAGAAACATAAAAAACAACCTCTGGTAATAAAGAGGATAACCTGAATAAATTGATCCACAGTCTGCCTTTACAGTCTGCAATGAAAAATATTAGCTCAGGCTAATATTAAAAACACAACAGTCTCACATACAAGTCAGTTTTTGTTATCATAGGCTCTTTAAAGCCCACCTAGCTTGAGGGAAAGTATTGGGAGACTTTTTAAGGTTTTCTATTGGACAGCTAAAGGCAGGACCTCAGTTGTGGGCGTGCCAATACGTGTGATTGGTCGAGGTTGCTCTCAATCACCACTCCACTCTCTCCCGAGCACCTCCCCTCCCTCTCCACTGACTGGATGTGCGGCCCAAGCGAGGATTTTTTACGAAAACATCCACCGCAGACTGCGTACCAGTACCAAACGAGAAGGGTGCTACGACGAACGGGACCCGACGCTATGGACCCAGCGGAATGACAGCCGATTCGATGGCGTTTTTAAAAGTTGGATAACGGTGTTTGGCCCTGAACGGAGACGGTAGAAGCGTAAAAGCAGATTTAATGGCAATGAGTGCTGTATCACTTGTTAGATAGACAGACAGAGAGAGAGAGAGAGAGAGAGAGAGAGAGAGAGAGAGAGGAGAGAGAGAGAGGGAGAGAGGGGCCAAAGTGGACTCCCTCCCTCGGTAGAGCTCGTTCCGCCCGATGGAGGCTGACGGGACCTTTGCAGTGAGCTCGAGGCCCGGAATGTCACCTGCGATACGTCGACACCTCGCTGGAAGACGTAATTAGGGAGAAAGACCGCGCACACCTGTCCGCGCTCTCGACGACTCATTTCCCAACTTCGTAGTAAGCTTTGTACACAAAAACAAAAGTTAGCAGGTCAACGTTAGCTGCGGGAGGCGAGATGACTATCATAGATATCACTTAACGAGAGGTTATTCACCGCCTCAGGTAACCTCGGACAGGTGAACGACCCACCATTACTCCTTCTTAATGGACTTCACGTTTATTTCTTCTGACCCGTTTGTTCTAGAAAGTTTTCCTATTACAATATTCCGCCATCAGCAAGTTGACTCCAACTCATTTGGCTGCGAGAGTTGAGCAGTTTTGTTTAACAAACAAGGACCTCTTGGACTTTTTTTTTCTCAGTAAGTGTCGCCTTTTTTTTTTTCATCAACCATGTCATTCAAAGACAATCCTTGCCGGAAATTTCAAGCCAACATTTTCAACAAAAGTAAATGCCAGAACTGCTTTAAGCCCAGAGAATCACATCTGCTGAACGACGAAGACTTAAATCAGGTGAACGAATGTTTTTTTTTTTTTTTTTTATATAAATAAAACAAACACTGGATATTTCATACTTGTGATACTTCCTATGTAATCTGTATTAATATCAAAGGGTCAGCCTGTCTTTATCTGTCCGTTTGATGTGCACATTTCAAACGGTTTTGTGATTTGCCAATAGACCATGAAGTGCAAAGGTTAGGTTAATTGGACACAATTATTTTCTAGCCCAAGGGCTCATATTGACCTCAATTCATGCAAATATAGGCCTCCACCCAGCTCTGTGCCTTCCAGCACTGTAGCATACTATCAGCTGCTGTTGTTGAATCATTATTTCTGAAAAAAAAATATTTTTTTGTCCCATCCTTTTGGCATTTTGCCTTATTCTTCCTTGTTCTTATGGCAGTCTTCATCCCAAATGCACTAAGGATGGGAGAATTGGAAGGAGGTCAAAATCACATTGTTGTTTGTATATAAATGATCACAAATTAAGATGTTCCACTAACACTCCCTGCTGGACTGGGTTGTTGACATTGGCAGGTTGTGAATGGTGGCATCAGATCGCACTGATCTCTGTTGGCCTATATTGTGATTGTTCCTTTTGGTAAGCTGTTCAACACGGCAGGTTAAGAAGAGTTACCTGTGTCCAGGTTGACAGTTTATGTGAGTGACACTTTTGTGACATTTCATTTCAGTTGGTAATGTCTTCAACATTGCTGCTTGTGGACTAATGGTTGTTGTACACATTTTCCCTTATTGTCCTCCATCACAGCCAGTGGCCTCTCTGTTGGATTGGAAATAGTCTTGAGGTTGTGTCACAGTGGAATTTCTCACCCACTGGCTATCAACCTTGTGCTTTGATAACTGCAGCCAGTGAAAGGTTATCATCTGTTGTCAGAGGCTGAGGACCTGGGACGGTCTGGCCATGTTCATTGTTTGGAAGTCCTACGACAAGAAGATAACGAAGGCCTGTGCATCTCATTTTGTGCATATGTTTATCCAGAACCCTCACCACCCAAAGGCCCATACGACTACTATTAGGGCAATATTACTTTGTCATTTATGATGGGGGGGACATGTGAAATGAACACACATGAACACACTTAAATGACTGTTTAACTAATGAACCACTGAAGGGTAAAAAAATGACCTAGATTCATCTCGTCTATTTCTTTCTCTCTTGGGAGGACTTGCCATTCGGGCTGCTGTTGGGTCATGTGAGGAGAGATGGGACCTTTTTCTAAATTGTGCTCAGTTTCAGTTCCTTCTTGGACCCAAGACTCACAGGCAAGGAGGAAGCTAGTGTCCCAGCATTAGTGTAATTCCCCCTCAACACTTACTGTACTGCCCTTCCCTGCAGTCCCATTATCAAATAACTTGGTCTCATCTGTAAGGTGCTATTCCTGTGTGCTGTCACCTCGCAGGTTGTTGTTGCAAAATTTGGGTGTTGTTTCTCCTCCCAAGTCTGCACACACTCTTGACTGTCCAAGGTTACAGACTTATGATTGAGAGTTCCTGTTACGTCATTTTGTTTACAAAGTCAGTCATCTGAGAAATGTGCTGTGCCTCCTGTAATCAAAGTGAAAGAGGATTTTATGCTGGATTATACTTGGCTTTACATGGGATGAAATTATGACTGTAATCAAAACCAGTGATAAAGGGATATGGAGGTGCCAGGCGGCTGTAACTGTCAGCTTTGGCAACATGATTTGCAGGCTACTGCGCCGTAGACTTGGGAGTGCAGCTGAATTACGTAAGGTACTTAATTTGTTAAGCTCTCTCACTGTAGGTAAGAGTTGAGTGTAAACGTGTAGTAAAATGTGTGCTCCTGTGCACACAACCCTGCAGTGGTTATGCAGGGCTTCTTTGGCTCAGCAAACAAATGCTGACTACTAGTATGGCTAGAGTTCAAATTTGTACCAGAACTATTTAAGAAAGTCTGCCAGGCCAACTTGCATTTCTCAGGACAAGTTTGAATTGCAAATCTGTAGCCACAAAATCTCTCAGGCTCTGCACTCTCTCCTGTTTCTCATCCACTGTTTTTCTTGCTAACTTCTGCCTCTCTCTGCCCCCTCCACCCACCAGTCCACCCACTTAGAGGATCAGAGGGAAAATCATGTGTGTTAGCTTTTCCTTTTTTTTTTCCTTTTTTTTTTCCAGGACAGCATGGTGCTCTGGGATACAGCCAGCTGGAGAATGTAGCCTGCAGTCAACTGTAGGCAGCTAGAGACCTTCCTGAAGTTAAACTTAAATGTGTGTGTGTTAGTGTCCGATACTGGGTCACCACTTGAAGCCTGAACTAGGGACTAGCCTGCAGTAATTTAAAATATGCATAATTGCTGATCGATATATTGATGTGCCTGTTCTAGTGTTTGCTTTTAACACTGTAATTGTGTTTTCTCCTCACCAGGCAAAACCTATATATGGAGGATGGTTGCTGCTGGCACCAGAGGGAACAAATTTTGACAATCCCTTACACAGATCCCGGGTAAGTGGTTCCATTGCTGGATTTGAAATTGATTATATTCAGAACGGAACATAGTTTTGCTTCTTTTTTTTTTTTTTTTAAACTTCCTTTTAATCAGGAAACTTTTGCTGGAGCTTCATGAAAACAAAATGGTATTTTTTTAGTCTATTGTCTGTCGCTTCTGCTCATGCCAAGAGGTAATAGGTGCAGTACTTAGGATTTTGAGTATGAGATGGGTAAAGTTTACTATTATGGCAGCTCCAAGGGTGCCAGGTAAGTGGAAAAAAGGCAATTGGATTGCATAGACCTTCTTTTAATTTTGTTATCTATTCTGGCAGTCATTTGATATCTGACAAACAGGAGGTCTGGTGGTGATGGCTCCTGTCGCTGTTTTCATGGATTCAGCTGCTTCCTGTGGGAGGCTTGGCCCTCTATCAGAAGAAGCCTCATTCTCAGGCAATAATGAGCCTAATATTGACTTTTATTTCATGAATCCTGCTCCCCTACCATCATGTAATGGGAGCCTTGCTCTGTGGCGCGGCTTCCTTTATCAGCTCCCAGATTACACTGTGGTGGTGCATCCCAAAGAAGGAGTAGAGAGAATGTGGGGGAGGAAAAGGAAAAGTCCCAGTTCTCACAGCCACACTGATGGCTTCCATATGGGTTCTGGGGGGAAAAGCACCTCTGGATCCTTCAGCTCAAACTACTGTCAACACTGTCGCGGCTTTGACATAATCACTGATGTGTTCTGCCTATTCTTACAATCAGTTTTTCACTGTGGGGGTATAATTGGTGGCCCATATGTAGTGCTGATGTAAGCAGGTTGCTCAGGTTTTGACTGACCAACAAGCAAATAACAGAGAAAAAAGTGCTGACATGTTGGATGAGTCACGTTTTAGGACCACTTTAGTCTGACAGGTTGTGGGTCTGTGGCTCTACTCTGTCCATCAACAACACTGCAGAATTGATCTTTAGAAGCCTCCTGTAAGTCACATATCTATCACCTTTTTAATGGCCTCTTTTAATGGGTATGACTCCAATGTCCCTGTGAAGCTCATCAGCGTCCCTATTGAGACCTTCCAGTGGCTTTTAGGTTACAAAGCACCTCTCAATATTTCATGGATTGTGCTCAGTCGGAATCGGAGCCCAGGATATTTAACACTGAGACAAAACGGTGCATTTAGATAAGAGGGAGACAGCGGAGAGCTCATCAAGCCAATGAGGAAGGAGATCAATGGAATCTGTCACCATATCATTTGCACAAATATCGGAAGAAATGGCTTTCTAACGAAGAGTGAAAATGACTCCCTTGTGTGTTACATTTGACCTTGTAGTTCAGGAATATGATCCTCTTCCTCTTCCTCTTCCTCAGTATTCCGGGGTCCGTTAACATTGTGTTCTTCATGTGTTTTGGACAAGCACTGACAGATATACTGTCGGATATCAGTTCAAGGTTGTGTGTGTAATTTATTTCCTGTAACACAGTTGTGAGCGTGGTTAATGTTACAAAAGTGTAATATTATGTACCGGTGTAAAAGAATTTTACCTACGTAGTTTTTGTTGACATTGTATCTGCATTCAGCAGGTACATAAAAACAAGGTGTTTTCCTATCTGTGTTTTGTCTGTTGTCTTTTTTTCCCCTCATGCATTTATTAATTAAAACCAACTGAAAACTGGGTGATTAATTCTTGAACTGGCGCAGGATGATAAAATCTTTTCCAGCTAGCTTTAAAACCTTTTGATGTGGTGTATGCTGAAAGTGTGCCAAGAACTGGGTTGCCACTGCATGACAACTGTTTCCCAAAGGGTTCCTCGCCCTGTGCATTCACTGTTTGTGTGAGTGTGCACCAGTGGAGTGGCCAAGTCTTTATATCCTGAAGTGTATAGTATGTAAGATTTTAATTTGAACTGATTCATTTACAGATCCAGTAAAGAATAATATTAAATATCTGTCCTTACTTTAAACAGTATTTGTTGAACTGTGTTGGCTAAAAATGACTTACTTCATCCTTTAAAAATAATAAATGATAATAAAATACGTATGTGATATACTGCCTGGATTGATACTGATATCTCTCGTGTGACCATGTCACTAATTCAAGAATGTCTCTTTTTGTTTATGCAGAAATGGCAAAGGAGGTTCTTCATCCTTTACGAGCATGGCTTACTTCGCTACGCTCTGGACGAAATGGTGAGTGAATGCTTTTCTCCTGTCAGCTGCTGATTTCGGTTTGCTTTGAGTAAAAAATACCTAATAATAATATAACAAAATAATACCTGTTCTATGTTGGCTTGCATGATGAAGTCATGCCATACTCCTTACATACCTTTCTCTTGCTCTTGAGTTTTCACCCACTGAACTTATGATTCATTCCCCATTGCTTTTCTTTCTGTGTTAACCTGCGGTTAATGAAACTCAGCACAATTTCTATCAATAAAAGGGAAGTGATTATGCCCTTTTAACTCCTGGAAGGGTTTTAATGTGAAACTGCTGGAGGAAATGTTGAGTTTGCATTACCAGTATATAGCAGCAACAGCAAGTTAATACACAAACAGGAACATCTCACAAAAGTTATTACCGAACAGCTTATTTCTGAATATGATATATAAACTTGAAGTTAAACTTTTTTATTAGTGCATGTCACAAATAAGACTCTATTCAGGTGGGTTAGATAATCGCTCTGACCACTATTTGGTAACTTACAGTAGGTTTCTCTGTTGATCAATTTATGATATAATTTATCCCATGACTGTAAAGTAGCTAGTTCAGTAATTTTGATTCTAGCAGAAGGATTTTATGCCTGTTCATTTCCGTTTAAAAAAAATAGTTTCTCTCAGTGAAAGCATCTCACATGAGGATGTTTATATAACAAAAGGAGAAGAATTAATTTACAGAACATTGGAACTAGGTAGGTTAGGCTGAAGTGTAGTTATTTTGTTACAAGCATTTTGGTGTGTTAGCACCAGAGCTCTCTTTCAAACAACAGAGTATTTTGTAAATGTGTGAAACACTAAGCTAACTAGCACAGTGGTGTCAAAAGGAATGAAGTGACACCACATGGTGTTGATACTAGAAGTCATGTGCCAAATTGTATGTGTTTGTTTAAGTGTCTAACACACTTATTGTGCAAGAGCCCCATGGTAACTTCCTGTTCTGAAAGAAAAACTGGAAAACCATGCAATGCCAGTAAGACTAATGTCTTCATTGATCTTTACTGGTGCCAATAGTCAAATATCTGTACAATAATTATACATTTAAGATGCAGACTGACTGTCTCTTCTTTGGAGTTCATGTTTTTGTAGGTCACTTGTTTGAATACAATATAGTTTGTCGGCACACTGAGTATTGATTGACCCAAAGCAGTACTCAACAGTTTTTTTTTTTCTGAATGTGGGTTGTGCTTTGAAATGAGGTGAAAGCAGAAGTCGTTGAAACAGCACTTGCTTTGTTGTTTTTGACCCTTTCAATACTGTATGTGGCATTCTCTGGCAGAGGAGAGATGCTGAGAGGTTTTATGTAATAGAAGCAGCAGGAGCTATGATGCAGAGTAGATTTGTTTTCTTTTCCATGCCCTTCAGGGTCATTTCATTCCCTCTATAGAAATATGCTACATGTTGAATAGCAAGGCAGAGTTTTTTTGGTGTTTTCTTTTTTTTTTTTTTTTTTTACTAAAAATGTTATTGCACAAAAATACTGGACTGGCCTTAATGTCTCCTTCAAACTGGAGCCAATAAATTGTATTTGTCAGGCACTGGTGGAGAATGATGGCACTTGAAGAAGGAAGGATGATGTGTTTTCTGGAAGAGACAAAGGGAAGAGGCGGATGTCCTCCTTCCATTCATCTCTCTCTCTGGATGTCACTCTTCATCTTTTCATCTCCTTTCTGAAAGGGGGATCAAAAGGAGGGGGGGTAGCAAGGCTCTGGAGCTGGAAATATCAAGTGACACTAAATATAGAACCTCACTTGTCACAGCAAACGCATTAGAATAATTGTTTTGTGTTCAATAAACAGCTATACAAACTTGGCTAATTGACATTCATATCTGGCACTCGTTTTTTTTTGTAGACAAAAAAGGTAGGGCTACAATCTGTGAGCGGCATTATATGATTTCATAAATGCCTTTTTTCACTTTTATAGACTGTATAGGTAATGATATAAAATATATTTAGTACAGAAACATTGTGAAGAAGCTATATTAATATTAATAACAATGCAATTTGAGTGTGTGAATGATTTGTTTTTATACCAGTGATCAAAGCCAGGTGGTTTAATAGCTTTTTATAAAGTGCTCTCAGCTATGCCACTATTGCAACATTTTAATTTTGTGTTGTGATGCCAAATTCATAATCTAAACTTTATTGCAACATTGATGTGCAGTGGGTTAGTTGTCCATACTGGATGATGGATATGGTTTTGGAATTTGATATGTGCAGAAGTGTGCATATTAAATACAGTTAACATGTTCGGTGCAAAATGCTTCAGATGGCTCCAGTCAACACTAGATCAGTTTAAATGCTGTATTGTAAATGACATCAGGTCAGATCTAAAGACTGCCAGCTTTCGCCAGTATAACGTTGCTCCAGACCACATCAGAGCCTCCGTCTGAGAGCACTGGTTGGGGTTGTAGATGAGGAGGTGCCCCTCTGTTTTCCTCTCGGCCTAGTTTTATAGCTCTTATTTCTTGGCTCTAACCAAACCCAGATGGGCTGTGGTCCCAACCTTCAGGATGTGGCACGACTCTGGGGGAAAGGAATGGGTTAGCAAAGGCCTGGGAGAGCCATCGATTTGGGGTTGCCCACCTACGGTGAACACCCAACACTACGCACGACTGCCATCATTTTATGCTAAGAGCAGCAGTGGCTTTGAAGAGCCGTTATGTGCAAGAGACAAGTGGTGAAAGAGGAAAGAAGAACATGTAGCTGCAGTAGGAAGATAAAGAGAAAATGTGTTCTGAGTGGAGGGATGGAGAGGATGAATAGCTGAAAATGTTGGCCTGCATAGAACATGTGCTGCCATGCAAGGCTAATGTGTTAGTGCAGCTTTTGTGGATTGTTCTTGGCATAGGCCTCCAAAGAAGGGAGTTGAAATGTGTCGTTTCTCAGCTAGTTCACAGAATTTTTGCACTGTACATGTTATTAGCTGTAAAGTCCACTGTCAATTCACTCTCCTGTATTTGCTGAATGCACAAGCTACCTTTTCCCAGAACAACCTAATGCAGTTATTTCAGGGGAGCGTTACCAAGGTAACATGTTTTGTCCCTTTGTCCAGCAATGGTTCACAATGGCATGTGTAACATGGGACAGTTATGCTCTGTTTTGTGGAGAGCTCTGGCTGTCTCTGTCCTGACTGTATAGATATGGGACAGAACACTCTGGAAGCAAAGCACGAGTGTGTGGGCTGAGGCTGTCTCTAGGCTCAGTCATATGGTGAGCAAGCCTTTCTACAGTAGCTGTAGAAAAAAAACCATCAGACACAGCATCAAAACAAATGTGCAGGGCTGGATTGGACAGAGTTATAGTTTGTGCTGAGCTGCACATGTTTCTGTGTGTGAGAGTGAATGCACCTGGGACCGAGGGTGCTTGACTGCAGAGGCCATGTCAGGAACAGGTGTTGTAAGGTTCGAGAAACCTCAGTTTCAAACTGACTTCAGCTTTAGCAGTCTTGGGTTAACACTATTGAGAGAAAGTGTTTTTATAATCAATTAGAGGTAAAGAAAAGACAAATGAACAACATGAACAGAGGCCACCCATACACAACTGTGTGACTAAGCTGTTCAAGTGATGTGAGAAACACACATACACACAAAAAAATCCATTATCACCTCTTCGTGAGGGCAGGTACGTGGGTGTAAAGAACTCTCCAGCTCCACAAAAGCCACTTTGATGACATCAGTGCAAGTTAAAATGATCAGCACCCACACTATAATAACTGCTTCGCTATGCAGTCCTAAATACCCCACCCAACACCTAGCTCCCCTTGACCTTGTGTTGACCTAATTGTAACCTATTCTTACTGACACACACTGACATACACACACACACACACACACACACACACACACCCCTCATCATATGATCTAGGCTGAAATGTCTTTCTTTGCAATGTTTCAATCTCTGTTGTGGTCTCTGAGCTCAGACTGAATCACAGTCTCCCTTTTTTTACATCCATAGATTAAAGAAGGCTTTTGCAAAGAAACTCTTTAATTACTGTTGACGTATTGTGTGTAATATTTTCTCAATTTAATTGGAAGCTTTTGCAAGTGCTTGGAAAGATTGTGCACTTTGTGTTCTCATGCTTGTCCACTAATGTATTTTAGCCCAGACTGCACAGTATACCTGCAAATAAAATGAGGCTACCTATTGAGTTGCACTACACAAAAGGCCCATTCAGAGACGTTTGAATTTTTTTTTGCCTTTAGACTGTATTGACTGCAGTTGACTGTCTGTATCCCAGCCATATCCCTTGTTATTCCAAGGAGGACATGATGTTCTAATGACGTTTCAGTTGTTGAAGTCATTCTCATTTCATCTTAGCTCAATTAATTTCCTGTGTTTACTGGAATTCAAATAGTGGACCCCTGCCCCATAGCAGTGTCCAAGAACGGAGAGAGTTTTGACAAACTTCCCTCCGTTTCCCAGACTTTTGTGCATTCTTTTAACTTGAGGCACACTATTCTGCTGTCTCTCTCTTGAATCTTTCAGACAGGAGCATATACAACCTCAGCCTGTGTTTGCCCTCAGACATTTAAGACCTTTTGACATGCTGAAACATGCATAAACCCTCTCCCTATTCTAGCCCTGTGAAACATGAAATTGAGGGTTATTTTTAACCAGTTTTGAGGAGCTTTTGTCTTGTGTTGGTTTGGGTATGAGGAAAGCTTTCTAGGGGATGGATGAGTGGGCAGGGCCTCTGAGTTGTGTTGTTGCCTCCAGGCACTCTATGCAGGGAATAAGTGGAGGCTGACCACCCCACCCCATCAAATTAGGGATACTTATAGGGGAGCTCCAGTCTTCCACTCACAGCAATCCATGGGAAACGGAGTAGAGAGAAGTAAAGACTGCCTGTAGTACACTTTTTTTGTATTACAGCACAAGATGGAAAGATTAATGATTTTGGATTGCATGGCGGCTTGGGGAGAGAAACAGATGATCTAGATGGAAAAGGGTAAACAGCGCGTTGATAAGACAGT